TATTGTTGTGAGCCGCCCTGAGTCCTTCGGGAGAAGGGCGGCATACAAATCCAATTAATTAATTAATTAATTAATTAATTAATTAATTAAAAAATGGGCCTACCGGAAGTCGAGAAATGGGCCGTTTCCGCCCTCAGGGGGGCCGGGAAAGGCTATTTTCACCCTTCCTTGGCTTCCAGGAAAGCCTCTGGAGCCTGGGGAGGGCAAAAAACGGGCCTACCAGAAGTCCGGAAACGGTTTCAGGGAGGCCTGTTAGGCCCAAAATGAGGCATGGGGGGGTCGTGCATGCATGCGCGGGGGTGTAGGGCAGTATGGGGGTTGCGCACACGTGTGTGGGGTGGGGCAGCACGGGGGGTTGTGCGCACATGTGCTGGGGTGGCGGGGCGCAGGGGGCGCATTGCATTGTAGATGTGGGCAGGCGAGCACGATGCTTTCGGCACCCAAGGGAAAAAAGATTCGCCATCATTGGTCTAGGAAGGCCACAAATAGTGACATTGCATGTGGGAAGTTGTCTGGGACTCTGCAACTGTGGTACACATTTACATGTACACATTTACATGTGTAAATACACACGTTGCCCAAGTGCCCAAATTTTGATAATGTGAATGTGGGGATGTTGTGTTGATCGTTAAGTGCAGAGATTGGAAGTATGTCGCTTTTTTCAGTGGTGGTGTAATTTTGAATGAATACTAAATGACTACAGGTAGTTCTCAACTTACAAGAGTTTATTTAGTGACCATTCAAAGTTACAACATCACTGAAAAAAGTGACTTAAGACCGTTTTTCACACTTAATCTTAACACACTTGACCTAAAATGGATAGCTAACATCAAAAACGTTATCAAAAAAGCACAACAAAGAATGTTCTTTCTGCGCCAGCTCAGAAAGCTCAAACTGCCCAAGGAGCTGCTGATCCAGTTCTACAAAGGAATTATTGAGTCTGTTGTCTGCACTTCTATAACTGTCTGGTTTGGCTCTGCAACCCAACAAGACAGACACGGACTTCAGTGGATAATTAGAGCTGCAGAAAAAACCATGGCTACCAACCTGCCTTCCCTTGAGGACCTGTCTACTGCACGAGTCAAAAAGAGGGCTGTGAAAATATCTACAGACCCCTCGCATCCTGGATATAAACTGTTTCAACTCCTACCCTCAAAATGACGCTCTAGAGCACTGCACACCAGAACAAGTTTTTCCCCGAATGCCATCACTCTCCTAAAAACAAATAATTCCCTCCACACTGTCAAACTATTCACTAAATCTGAATTACTATTAATCTTCTTATCGTTTCTACCACCCATCTCCTCCCACTTATGACTGTATGGCTGTAACTTTGTTGCTTGTATCCCTACGATTTATATTGACTGTTTCCTAATATGATTTGACTGCTTATTTGTTCCCCATGACTATCATTAAGTGTTGTACCATATGATTCTTGACGAGTTGTCTTTTTATGTACACTGAGAACATATGCATCAAGACAAATTCCTTATGTGTCCAGTCACACTTGGCCAATCAAGAATTCTATTCTATTCTATTCTATTCTATTCTATTCTATTCTATTCTATTCTATTCTATTCTATTCTAATTCTAATACACTTAATTCTTAATCATATAGGGTTTACTCTACTACTCTACTCTACTCTATTCTACTCCACTCCACTCCACTCCACTCCATTCCATTCACAATCGTCGTGGCATCCCCGTGGTTGCGTGATCAAAATTCGGACGCTCGGCCATTGACCCATGTTTATGACAGTTGCAGAGTCCCAGGGTCACATGATCCCCTTTTGAAACCTTCTGACAAGCAAAGTCAATGGGGAAACCAGATTCACTTAACAACCATGTTACTAAATTAACAAGTGCAGTGATCCACTTAACAACTGTAACAGGAAAGGTCATAAAATGGGGAAAGCTCACTTAATAACTGTCTCACTTAGCAATATAAATTTTGGGCTGAATTGTGGTTGTAAGCCGAAGATTACCCCATCAACCCTCTTTACGTGAGTTTATTAAGTTGGAGACTTTTTGAAGGATTTGAAACTTTTCTTCCCAAACTTCTTGCTCCGTGAACTAATGTGCCATTTATGAAATCACAAAGCTGCTTTCTATCCCTTGATTGTTTAGACTTCTTCGTTTCATTTCTCAGCTTGCTCAAGTGTGCGGTGCGAACACCCTCCAAACTGATTAAATTGTGGCTGGCCTAATTTTTTAAGTGTTTTTAAGTGTTTTGTTTATTGTTTTTAATTAATGGGGCCAAATTTATATATGTATATTTTAACTGTATTTTAATATTTGTACTTGATGTTTTTACTTGGCTGTTCACCACCCTGAGTCCTCAGGGAGAAGGGTGGTATATAAATTCAAAATAAAATAAAATAAAATAAAATAAATTAGGTTTTTCATATAAAAATTACTGTAAGTTCACTTCGGGGTGGGTTCTAATTTTTTTTACTACCGGTTCTGTGGGCGCGGCTTATTTTGTGGGTGTTGCTTGAAGGTCATGTGACTAGGTGGGCGTGGCTAGCTGATCAGAGTCATTTCTGGAAGGTTCTCGCACTTACGACCAATCCTCGCACTTACGACCCAACTCATTTGTTTGCTTTTAACACTGATCAGCTGTAGGACGGCCCTTTGAAGCCCCGCGGCAAGAGTTTAAACAGTTTTTTTCCCTCTAGTCATCAGCTGGGACTCAGGAGGCAGCAATAAATTGGGGGTGGGACCAAATAAAAAGTAAGAATAACGTGGGGGGGGGGGGGGGGGAGGGAGGGGAGAACCAGTTTGGTGACGTTTGGTTCACTTGTTCTATATTGAGGCTAGTGTATTTTTTAAAATCTACATCCCATTTTCTTTTGGGAAGCTAATAGTAGTTAATATGTTATTTTTGTGTGTTTTGTTCATAGTGGTAATATTGATGTTTGCAGGGTAAAGATGCCATTTCTACCACTCGCCAAAGAGGCATTGCTTTTGATTGCATTTCTCAGAAGGATATAATACCTTTAAGTCTCTCAAGTTAGAGAGAGGCAGAATGCAGCATTTTATTATGTACTATATACAGGTAGTGCTCCACTTACAGCAGTCCATTTAGTGTACCGTTCAAAGTTACAATGGTACCGAAAAAAAGTGACTTATGACAGCTTTTCGCATTTACAACTGTTGCAGCATCCCCACGAAAAACATTCAGATATTTGGAAGCCCAAATTCCGGTCCCATTTTGCAAAATCTCTGGCATTCCCTATATTGTTCAATGCAATATGACTGGCTAGAAACTAGAGCAGTGATGGCTCACCTTTTTGCTGTCACATGCCAAAAGTGGGGGGAGTGCGGGGGATCACACACGCACATGTCCACACCCATAGTTCAATGCGCCCCAGCCCCCCCCACTCTCAGCACATGATGGCCCGGTGGGCCCGGTAGGCCTGTTTTTTGCCCCTCCCCAGGCTCCAGAGGCTTTCTAGGAGCCTGGGGAGAGCGAAAAGAGCCGGAGGCCCTCCCGGGGCCGGAAACAGACTGTTTCCTGACTTCCGGTGGAGCCAGAAGGCCTGAAAATTAGTTGGCTGGTTGCACGCTTGCACGCTGGAGCTCAGCTAGGATAATGCTTGCGTGTCCACCAATATGGCTCCATGTGCCATCTGTGGCACGCGTGCCATAGGTTCGCCATCACGGAAATAGAGGTTGCACTTCACACCCTAATTTTGGGGACTTAGATAGGACACCCACATGGCATGCTCAAAGGTTAGGGTTCACATGCTCTATTGCAGAGGTCTTCAAACTTGGCAGCTTTAAGACTTGTGGACTTCAACTCCCAGAATTCTCCAGTTGATGTCCATAAGTCTTAAAGCTGCCAAGTTTGAGGACCCCTGCTCTATTGAGACTTGGTTTAATCTTCTAATATTTTCTAAAAAACGAATTTCTAATTAACTTTTGAACAAACACAGTTGACTTTCACAACATAGTAAGCCAAGAACAATCAATATTATGACTTACGCAAGGTGTGAATCACACCTTACTCTAGACATGATTTGTCAGGATTTTCCTGAAAACAGTTTGCTCAGTTCAATTGTTCTCATATCCTCTGTGTGATCAGATACTGTTCATTCCAGTATTTGACTAGGTGGATCAGAACAGGAGTTACAAGGAAGACAAAAACTGCTTTTATTGAGACCGGCTGTAGTAACAGAAGGGGGCACGATCGCTCAGCAGTTAAAGACGCTGAGCTTGTCATCTGGAAAGCTGACAGCCAGGGTTCGAGACCCGAGTGCCGCATGACAGGGTGAGCGCCCATCCTCCCCTCAGCTCCTGCCCACCTAGCAGTAGGAAAGCATGCAAAAGTGAGTAGGTAAATAGGTACCACTTCAGTGTGAGAAGGTAACAGTGTTCTGTGTGCCTCAGCATATAGTCATGGTGGCCACATGATCACAGAAGTGTTTTCAGATAATGTTGGCAACTTGAGGGTGGGCGGGCGCTATGCCATCCTATTTAGCCATGTTTTCTAAGCCACGTGCATGCGTGCGAGCTGTGTGCGCGAGCAAAGTGCATGTGCAGCGCATTGCGCTCACATTTTTGGTGGGTGGAGAACCGGTGGTAAAATTACATGAAACCCACCTCTGGTTGGCTCCCTCAGCTAAGAAACAGAGATGAGCACCGCCTTCTAAAATCAGAGATTAACTGGACAGCAAAAATCTTTACCTTTTATAGTAACAGAATTGAACAGTCTGATGGTGCTGTACCACTTTCTCCTCCTCATTATTCAGCGATATAAAGGTGTCGGTCTGAATTGCATCTAATAGACGAGGATCTCTGCAGCTCAGGGTTGAACTGTAGAGTCGTCGGTGCTCTCTGAGCTTGAGGATTTGCAGGCGTTTTTATGACCCAGCTAGGTAACATTATCAGTGCAAGTGAGTGTGGGGTTTGCTCCCTGTTTATAAACATTTATGTAGAAACAGCACTTGCTGCTTGGTGGAAGTTCATCTGCAGATGTATTCCAGTGCTTTCTGAAACATCTGATGCCCACATGTGGTTTCAACAGAAGAGAATCTCTGCAGCTCTGGGGTGAACTGTGGAGTCCTGGATGCTCTCTCTGAGTGGGTGATTTGCAGATTTCATGACCCAACTAGGTAACATCATCAGAACTAGAAGGGAGTGGGATTTGCAGAGAGGAGGAGGAAAAGGATGAGGACTGTGGGGTCCTTGGTGTTCTCTGAGCTTGGTGGTTCACTTGGCAAGACGTTTCATGACCCAACTAGGTAACATCATCAGTGCGCTTCTGAATATTATCAGGACATTCTTGACTTTTTAAAAAAAATCTTCCTCCTCACTTTCTTACTTTCTACACCTGCTAAGTCCAACTGACCTCCATCTTTTCTTTGGGTAATAGGCAGCATCTCCAGGGGCTCAGGAGCTTAAGGACCACTTAACTTCTACCTCTCAGTTCTGCACCTGCTTAATCTCCCTCTGCCTCCTTGAACAAAATCTTGGGACTTACAGATAAAGGTATTTGTGTCCCCGACTTCTTAGAATTCCTTTTTTCCTTCATTATCCCATAGAAGACAACCCCTGCTTCTCTATCACATTCCATAAGGGCAGAGCGCCATCTAGTGGGGGTCTTTGGAAAACCCCTTGAAGATTGAATTCATTCGTTTTACATCCCCAGGTTCAACCAGCCCCCAGCATCAACCAAATGAAAGTAACTTGTGATAATAATAGAATAAATAAATATAGGTTAAAAACCCAGTGTTCGTCCACACTGCAGAATCCAATGCTTCTTTCCATGCATGTTTTCTGTAAAGGATTCTCAGTGCATTAGTGCAAAATTAGTGTACCTCCTTTTGGTACTCTGTGAGAGCAAAGATATTTCAAGAAGCCAAAATCCAATTTTGCAGACTTCAGGTCTTTTCCCAAGGTGCAAAATCCCCATTCCAAAGCCTCTGTTCCAAAGCCCCATAGTTCATTGGTGTGTCTCCAAACAAACAGCCTTCTGGATTGGCCGTTCTCGTGAGGATGGCATTGAAATGAAGCTACTTTAACACCAGTAGAGCTAAGGATGATTTGATACAGTCTCATTCGTGGGCTGGAGAAAGGCTTCTCTAATGAGATCCAAGAAACACTCCTCCTTACTCTCGTGTCCAAAAGACTTTGGATAGTAACAAATCTCCCTCGAAGTTACAAGTTTGGGTCCGTTTCTCCCATCTCAAAGGAAGGCAAAATGTAATCGTGGCTCTTGATCGGCCAGCTGCTGCTCGACGTCTTTTGGGATCGGATTGTGCCATAAACTGGAAAGAGAAAGGAACAATTTTAGGCACTTGAAGAATGGTACTCACTACTGCCATTTGCAGCAAAGCAAAGACCCTTTGCTTTAAAGTTCTGTTTTTATCCAGACAATCAATCAATCAATCAATCAATCAGAATAGAGCTGGAAGGGACCTTGGAAGTCTTCTAGTCCAATCCTCTGCTCAAGCACGAGATACCATTTCAGATAAGCGATTGTCCAGTCTCTTTTTTAAAATCTCCAGTGATGAAGCACCCATAATCTTTGAAGGCAAGCCGTTCCACTAGCCAATTGTTCTCACTGTTGGGAAGTGTGTCCTTAATTCTAGGTTGTATCTCTCCTTGATTAGTTTCCATTCATTGTTTCTTGTCCTGCCCTCTAGTGCTTTGGAGAATAAATTGACCCTCCCTTCCTCTTTGTAGCAGCCCCTCAAATCAGGGGTGAAATCCAGCAGGTTCTGACAGGTTCTGGAGAACCGGTAGCGGAAATTTTGAGCAGTTCAGAGAACCGGCAAATACCACCTCTGGCTGGCCCCAGAGTGGGGTGGGAATGGAGATTTTGCAATATCCTTCCCCCAGGAGTGGGGAGGGAATGGGGATTTTGCAGTATCCTTCCCCTGCCATGCCCACCAAGCCACCCCCACCAAGCCACACCATGCCCACCAAGCCACACCCACAGAACCAGTAGTAAAAAAATTGGATTTCACCACTGCCTCAAATACTGGAATACTGCTATCATAATATATTTAAACATAAATATATATCCTATCCACAAAATGATAGAAATAGCTGTCCTAGCCCTGACTTGGGTGCATATTTGGAATTCTTTTTGCACTGCAAAGTGGCAGCTGAAGGAGGCAAAGACCTATTTAGGGCCATTTAAACACCAAGAAGAGTCATAAATTGTGAACCTGTTTTGAAAAAAAAGGGGAGGGAGACTATTACTGTTGAAATTTATTTATTAGTATTCAACCAAGGGGGACAGTCTATGTGTATTATTGTTACTTGTTTTCATACACATTTTTTTCTGGTTTTGAACTGTTTTTTTTTCTTTTTTCTTTTTTTTGGGGGGATTTTGTATTTTAACTTTGGAAATAAAATTTTAAAAAATGTTTTTTTAAAAAAAGAAGAGTCACATTGGCATAGCGAAGGCACCAATCTGGAAATTGAGAGGCCAGGAGTTATAATTCAGCCCTGGGCATGAAGCCAGCTGGGTGACCTCAGGCCAGTCACTTTCTCCTAGCCCTAGAAAGGAAGCAATGGCAAATCATTTCTGAAACCTTTCCAAGAAAACTGCAGAGATTTGTCCAAGCAATTTCCATGAATTGGATGTGATTGAACAGAAGGAAAAAAACCCCAATTCTTAAAGAGGTTTCCCCCCCTGCTCCCTTTATCCAGCCATGAGTGCCTCCTAATCCTTGTCCTGTTTTTTTTTCCTGAGCTACCTTTACTTTACTTTTACTTTATTCAAATTTCTATACCGCCCTTCTCCTTTTGGACTCAGGGCGGTGAACAGCCAAGATAAAAACATCTATACAAAACATCACAGTTAAAAAATAAAGTTAAAATAATTTATAAATTTGGCCCATAATTTAAAACTTGTCAATTAAAATCAATATTAAAATTTTAAAACTAACCCTAAAATCAAGACAGACCGGCTAACTGGAAAAAATGAGTTTTTAGGGCCCGACGAAAAATCCGAAGGTCGGAGATCACTCGTATCTCTGGGGGTAGATTGTTCCATAGGGTAGGTGCCACCACAGAGAAGGCTCTCCTCCTGGGGGTCGTCAGCCGGCATTGTCTGGCCGACGGCACCCTGAGGAGGCCCTCTCTGTGGGAGCGAACCGGCCGGTGGGAGGCTATTGGTGGCAGAAGCTTTTTTAAAAAAATTTTAAAAGCATTTTTTCTACAACCTCTTCAGCTGAAAAAATGCTTTTAAAAGTAAAAAAAAAGCCTCTGATGATCGCGCGGCTCAGCTGGGCATTGTGGGGGGGGGAGGGATTTTTGCTACCGTTCTCCGAACGATCCCAGCTGAGTTGCCTGATCGGCAGAGGCTTTTAAAAGCATTTTTATTTACAATCTCTGTGGCCAAAGAGGTTGTAGAAAAAATGTTTTTAAAAGAAAAAAAAGCCTCTGACGATCAGGCAACTCTGCTGGGATCGTCAGAGGCTTTTAAAAGCATTTTTTTTACAATCTCTTCAGCCAAAGAGGTTGTAGAAAAAATGGTTTTAAAAGTAAAAAAAAAGTTGGCCACGCTCCCCCAGTCACATTACCCCCCACCACCAAGCCACACCCACAGAACCGTTAGTAACAAATTTTGCATTTCACCACTGCCCAAATCCTTTCCGATTCTGCTGCCAGCATTAATTCTCAGTTTATCATTGCAGGTTTTGAAATGATCATTGTAAGAATCTGCTAAACGTGATTTATTATAAGGACAGATGATGAACCCAATCAATGGCTTATTCAACAGATCATAGATAAAACAAACAACGGCTCGGCATTTGTGATTCCTGTGGCACCTGCTGTTCTCAGTTCCAATAAGTATGGCCAACCAGAAGCTTTTTGACTTATTAGGTGCTACCAAGGGTGTCCACAAGGGTAGTAAAAAAAAAATCAAGATGGCGGGCATGTAATGTAATCAAAGATCTGCCTCTTTTCATGTGGGATGCATATAAGAACCAGACAGAGCTCTGTACTATTCTGGTCACCATCATTACTTTTTGGACCCCATCTTGCTGACACCCTTGGATGTCTAATCATCACCATTCAAACGCCCCTTGTTCAACCTCAGTCCTCCAGATGTTTGGGTAGAGAACATTCAGGATTCTCAGCACTGGCTGCCCTGGCTGGAGTATTTAGGTGGGGCTGGAAGTCCACACATCTGGTGGGCATCCAAAAGAACTTTACTGGATTTCAACTAACAAAATTGGGATCCACTTCTTATTCTTGGCCGGATTTCAACTGGGTTGCAGCACTGTGCAAACTATACAGCAGGAGGATTAAGAAGGTCTTCAAAGGTTGAAGGTTGATAACTCAGCCTATTAATCCAATTTTGTTTAGAGGACTGAGAGGGGCTCTTACTACTCCTAGAAAGCTCACCGTATAGTCTGGATTCCAGGACATCGAAGAAGCTGCTTTGCCAACATGGAAGCGCCGTAACTTGTGATATTGTTATTGTCCAGACTAAAGAGAGGAGAGAAGAACAGAAGGGAAATTACTGATAGTTGTATCAAATTCCCCTTCCTAACAAAATCAAAGCAGCTTCGAGGTCTTAAGGTACTCACTCCAGAATCTTCATCCTTATCATCCCAGGGAGAACCATGGTGAGTTCTTTGGCAGTTTCATCACCAAGTTTATTCCAAGACAAGCTGAAAAGAGCAAGTTCAGATGTGAGAAAGATTCTTATCCAAGAGGGCACCAGGGTAAGAATTTCTAGGCATCCCTCTGCTGCAATAGCAATAATAGCAACCAGGAGCATATCTGCTTTGTGGACTGCACTGGTGGGTCTGTTTCAGTGGTGGGTTCCTCCCGGTTCGGCCAAGCCGATAGCGGTGATGATATGACGTCACCGAACTGGTTCTCTTTGTTCGGGAGCTGGGTAAATTGCTGGGAGGCAGAGGCCAAAGGGTGGGGGCCAGTGGGTGGATGAGGCTACATTCGGTGTATAAGACGCATCTAAATTTTCACCCCCTTTTAAGGGGAAAAAAAGGTGCATCTTATACTCCGAAAAATACGGTATTTTGCCATCTCTGTCCTTTTTCGTTTCTTGTTATTTTTGATGTCTAATTTCTCATGTTTGGAATAATCTGTTAAATCATCCAGAGTCACTACGGTAGGAGTTCAGCAGCATATACATTTAAATAATAATAATAATAAGCAATGCAATCTCACACAATCTCTTCAAGGAAAGGACAGCAGCTGAGTCCGACAATTAGAGTTTTGGAAGCACGATCGCTGATACCACAGACCTTTAGTCTAAAATTTTAAAAAAGGAGAAAAGGATCACTATCTGTATTTCGTGGCTTTGTTTGCACAGTGCATACTTCATTTGCTTACTGAACTGATTCTTTTCCTTGGGTTGACCTGATATATTGAATCATGAACTATATTCCTAACCACCACATTAAAACACATAGTGGAAAAAAAAAACAAGTTTTAACCAAAGCTTAATGCACTGTTTTGAGTGCAGCAATAACGTCTGTAATTAACCCAGTTCACTGTCTATGGAGATTCTCAATCCTCGAGATTATAGTTGTTCCAAAACTGCTTTTTCAAAAGGCAAATGGACTTTCTTAGTTTTTTTTCCCTTGAAATTGTTTTGCTTCTCATCCAAGAAGTTTCTTCAGTTTTGAAGAACTTGGTTTTCAAGCAGTGGTGAAATCCAAATTTTTTTACTACCAGTTCTGTGGGCGTGGCTTGGTGGGTGTGGCAGGGGAAGGATTCTGCAAAATCCCCATTCCCACCCCACTCCAGCGGAAGGATACTGCAAAATCCCCATTCCCACCCCACCCTGGGGCCAGCCAGAGGTGGCATTTGCCAGTTCTCTGAACTACTCAAAATTTCCGCTACCGGTTCTCCAGAACCTGCTGGATTTCACCCTTGTTTTCAAGGGAAAAAAACAAGAAAGTCCATTTGCCTTTTGAAAAAGCACCTTTAGGACAGTTCACTAACAAAGAAAGCCAGTTTGGTAAAGTGGTTAAATGCCCAACAGATTGAAAACTGGGAGCCTATGAGTTTTAGTCCTATTTTAGGCACAAAGCCAGCTGGGTGACCTTGGGCCAGCCATTTTCTCTCAGCCCTAGGAAGAAGGCAATGACAAACCATTTCTGAAAAAATCTTGCTAAGAAAGTTGCTCATTCAGGCAGCTGTCAGAAATCAAGACTCACTCAACACACACATATACAGTATACACACAAGCACCCATCCACACAACAAACTGAGCCAAAGAATGCTATTCTATCTGTCTTCAGGTGAAATATTTTAGGACATGGGTTTCCGTTCTACCGAGGGCGGTTCGGAAGTGCGCACTCTGCACGTGTCATATGTGATTTTGGACCCTCAAAGCCTTCTGTGCATGCGCAGAGGGTCAAAAACAGGTTACTTCCTGGTTAAATGATATCCAGGCAGGTGGGCGGAGCCTCGCGCTGCCACCGCTACCGGTTCTCTGAACCATGCGCCATCGCTGCTACCGGTTCACCTGAGCTGGCGCGAACTGGTAGCATTTCACCCCTGCTCTACCCTTATCCTCCCCGTCTGTCTCTATATCTGACCCAGTTTGTCTGAATCCTTCCTAAACTGGTAGAGCCAAGAAAGTGGTTGGGGTGGATCCAGATCACAACAGATTAGATTTTTTCTTCCTGCAATTTGGAAAGTGAAACAACCTATTAAAATTATATAACGTGAGGCTAAAGCTGTGATAGTCTGCTACCACAGTTTTAAGCCACATTGATTTATGCTCCTTATAATATGGACAAGGTTAGTGCTTGGGTGCTTGGCCATGGTTTGTTTAACCATGTATAGTCATGGTCTGTTGAACAAGCTACAATGAGCTGGGTTCATACAGTCCATTAAACCACAAATGATTCACTTGAAAATCACAATTGACTTGTCCCCATCGTTACACTGAATCCAAACCAATTAGATTATTAAACCATTTAATTCATAAAATCATTATGACTTAAAACAAAGAACGCATCCTGCCTCTAGCTCTTCCCTTGCCTGAAACGGAAAACTTACTCAATCTTCCTGAGTTGTGAAGATTTTGGCCATGGTGTCATAAAGGACATCACACCTTTATCGCCAATGTTGTTTTCTGAAAAGCTGCGAAGAGAAAGCAAGAGAATCATGCAACAATCCCAAGCAAACAGAGCCTTTTAGAGGCAGTCCTCGAGTTACGATGGTAATGGAGCTTGTAACTCGTGATGGGCATAAAGCAGGTTGGCCATGTGACTGACCTGCTTTTACAACCTTTTCTGAGGCTATTGTTAAGCGTTTGTGTGGATTGCTTAAGGGTCAGTTTTGGCAAAAACTGGAAATAAAAACTGGTTTTAGGCAAAATCATGGTAAATCATGATGACTTGATGATGGGACTCTGCAAACAGCCATAAACACAACCCTGTTGCCGAGTGGCTGAAGTTCAGTCATATGACCAGTGGGGAGCGCAATTGTCAGAACTTGAAATCCAGGCCATAAGACAGGTCCATCAGAGTTCCAAATGGTCACTAAGTTGAGGACTACTTGCAATACTTTGGGAAGAATGTTCTCCATCATTTACGAACGAGGAAAAGTTTTCAGGACTTTTTGTGGCTGGACCTCCTGTGTCACTTACTTGATTTCCTCTATCTGTGGACATTTGGCCAAGATTCCCACCAAATGGCTGAATCCTTCGGAATCCAACTGACAGTGAGAGAGGCTGTAGGGACACCAGAGGACATTTAGGTGGGAAAAAGAAAAATGCACTGCATTGCATTGCATACTTTTTGCAAGTTTGCCACACTGAGTAGGGGCCCAAAGCAGCGATACAAAATCAGGACAAGGAGTTCCTGGTAGCCTGTAAGATATTTGGATGTCATATTGCTTGGTATATATGTTTTTTATGTTATGGTTGAGCTAATAATGAAGGCTTAAAATCTATTTAGAATATTTTTCGGAGTATAAGCCGAACCTTTTTCTCCCCAAAAAGAAGATGAAAATCTGCGTGCATTTTATACTCCGAATGTAGCCCCGCCCAGCCTCACAAATGGAGATTTCAGAGGCTGAAAGAAGCCTCTGAAAGAAGCTTCAGAAAAAAAAGCCTCCAAACAGAGCTTCAGAAAAAAAACCTTTTTTTCTGAAGCTCTGTTTCGGAGGCTTTCAGAGGCAGAAAAAAAAAGCAAGGCACAGAGCTCACAACCAACGAACCTGTTGCTAAAATTCACCTCTGGAAACGGGCTGATTGGAGGTATTCCGGGAGCCGATCTACCCACCAATCAGCTTTTTTCTTATTTTCCTTCCCAAAAACTAAGGTGCGTCTTATACTCCGGTGTATTTTATACTCCGAAAAATACGGTATTTAGTGCTTATTGTCTGATCACTATCCTGACCCTTGGCAAAACAAGGATAAAGCAAATTTTATCTCTTTTCTCTTTGTTAAGCCTGAGTCAGAGAGCAAGAGAGCCACAGAAGGTTTATTTGATGCCATTAACACCTTTTGCTACACAGTTTGAAGGGTTTCCTTCCACAATGTAATACAAGGTAGAACAGCTTTACAGATGCAATATTCTTATCCTGGATACTTACTGGAGGACTTTCAAATGCTTCTTGAAAGGCAAAATTGGAGCCAGTTTTTCCAAAGTCTTATTTCCAATATTGTTCCAAGATAATCTAGGAGAAGGGGAGTGGATGTGTGAACTCTCATGGATTAAAAGAAGAATTAACATTGCCTAACAACTTCTTCCTGATCTGCAATGAAGGAATTCTACATTTAGCCATGTTACAAGAGGAAGGGCTACTCTGGGAGGCTTACAACAGTAGAGCATAACATTATTAAAAATGTAAATGTAACAATAATAAAAGAATGAAACAATGAAAATAAACAAGGTACAGCAGTATGAATGAAAAAATGGGCAGGGAGGGAGCAGGATGCGCAGAGAGGGGGGAAGGGGGATGCAATCATTCTAGTATTTGAGGGGCTGCCACAGAGAGGAGGGAGGGTCAAGCTATTCTCCGAAGGCCAGACAAGGAATAATGGATGGAAACTGAAAAGGAGAGATTCAACTTGGAAATAAGGAGAAATTTCATCACTGGAGGCTTTCAAGAAGAGACTGGACTGCCATCTGTCAGAAATGTTGTAGGGTCTCCTGCTTGGGCGGAGGGGGGGTGGTTGGACTAGATGACCTACAAGATCCCTTCCAACTCTAATCTGTAGTAGCTATTTCCAGTGATGGACTCTCCCAACGGACACCCAGGCCAACCAGCAGAGCCAGTCTTACGGAAGGACAGGAGAATGGGGACAGACCTCATTTTCCAACTATAGGTAGTCCCCAACTTACAACAGTTTTTTCAGTGACCGTTCAAAGTTACAACAGCACTGAAAAAAATTGACTTATGACCCTTTCCCCATACTTATGACCGTTGCAGCATCCCCATGGTCATGCGATCAAAATTCAGATGCTTGGCAAGGGACTCATATTTATGATGGTCACAGTGTCCTGGGGTCATGTGATCACCTTTTGCGACCTTCTGACTAGCAAAAATCAATGGGGGAAGCCAGATTCACTTAACAACCGTGTTGCTAATTTAACAATGGCAATGATTCACTTAACAACTGTGGGAAGGTAGGTGGTAAAATGGGGCAAAACTCACTTAGCAAGTAACAGAGTCGGAAGGGACCTTGGAGGTCATCTAGTCCAACCCCCTGCTCACGCAGGAGACCTACACTAGGGATTCGAACTGCCGACCTTTCCGATCGACAAGCTCAGCATCTTAGCCACTGAGCCACCTAGCCAGGTATCTCGCTTAGCAACAAAAATTTGGGGTTCATTGTGGTTGTAAGTTGAGGACTACCGGTAACACGTTTTACTAAAAGGCATCAGCTTTTGTGACTTACAAGGAAAGGTGTTAGCAGGCTCCTCATATTTTGTGACTTGGGTGGTGTCAGAATTAAAAGGATGGTCTTAAGAACTGCATAAACACCGGCCAAGCTAAAGGACAGTGTAAGGCTATCTCACTCATGAACTGGAGAAAAGATGATTAATAGCTTCCTGGAGATATAGCAAACATCGTGTCGCTGAGAAATATTTGTACTTTGTTAGGTATAAGTGGGGGGAAAAATGCTTTAAAGCAGGGGTCTCCAACCTTGGCAACTTTAAGACTTGTGGACTTTAACTCCCAGAGTTCTTCAGTCAGCTTTGGGAGTTGAAGTCCACAAGTCTTAAAGTTGCCAAGGTTGGAGACCCCTGCTTTAAAGAGACAAGCAAGGTGGGGGGTTGAATCCAGATTAACAAAAGGTGATTTACTTGAGTATTTCCAGCTTCTCACTCTCAATCAGACCTTCTGCAATCCATTGTCCTCCAGCCGAAGTGATGCTGTTGCAGGAAAAACTAGGAACAATTTGCAGGATGAAAAAAAGACGTCAGTTAGGACAACGTTTCTCAACCTTGATGGCTGGCTTGAAGATATGTGGATTTCAAATCCCAGAATTCTCCAGCTGGGGGTTCAGATCATCTGCCAGGGATTGAACTCATGGGCCCTTGGTGACTATATACTATGTCCAACCTTGACAACTTTAAGACCTGGACTTCAACTCCCAGAATTCCCCAGCTAGCTGTGATGGACATCCCTGTTATATAGTGCAGTGGTGAAATACAATTTTTTTTACTACCGGTTCTGTGGGCGTGGCTTGGTGGGCGTGGCAGAGGAAGGATACTGCAAAATCCCCATTCCCTCCCCACTCCTGGGAGAAGAATATTGCAAAATCCCCATTCCCTCCCCACTCCTGGGAGAAGGATATTGCAAAATCCCCATTCCCACCCCACTCTGGGGCCAGCCAGAGGTGGTATTTGCCGGTTCTCCAAACTACTGAAACTTTCCGCTACCGGTTCTCCAGAACCTGTCAGAACCTGCTGGATTTCACCCCTGATATAGTGTATTAACCTTAGAAGTTCTCCAGGCCTAATGGTCAGCAGTGCTTCAAGAAGGGCTATAGAGAGAATCTGTCTTTAGAATGGTAAACAATAGCAATAGCACTTAGACTTATATACTGCTTCACAGTGTATAAAACACTAGGCTCTCTAAGTGGTTTACAGAGTCAGCCTCTTGCCCCAAACAGTCTGGGTTCTCATTTTACCAACCTCAGTAGGATGAAAGACTGAGTCAACCTTGAGCCAGTGAGGATCGAACTCCTGGCAGTCGGCAAAGTTAGGCTGCAACACTGCATTCTAACCACTGCTCCACCATGGCTCCCTATAGCCCAGCTTTCTTACATCAACTCCCCATTCAGCAGAAGTGAGTTTCACCGAGTTCTGACCAGTTCTGGAGAACCGGTAGTGGACATTTTGAGTAGTTCGGAGAACTGGTAGTAAAAATTCTGACTGGCCCCCCCACCCCCCATCTATTCTCTGCCTCCCTGGTCCCAGCTGATTGGGAAGAAATGGAGATTTTGCAGTATCCTTCCCCTGCCACGCCCACCAAGCCACATCCACAGAACCAGTAGTAAAAAATTTTGAAACCCACCACTGCCGTACAGGATTTCAACCCATAGAAAATCCTAAGGTTATGTACAAGTCCCAAGTAGGAATGGAACTAATTGCAGACATTCAAATATAGTTAACATGACTGCTTACCATTATCTAATTATTATTTTTTCTTTTATCCTATTAAAAATTGCAATTCATTAACAATCCTTGAGTGCTATGGGTAATGCACTATTTTCTTAAGTTATAAAAGCAGGGGACCTGACAATGAGTTATGGATTATTTGCTCAATGACTTAAGTCAATAGGATCCATAGCTTTCAGCTGAATTGGAAACGTGACCTGATTTATTAGAGCTACTGATGCATGCTTAACACAAAAACTGGAAGTAAGTATGAAATAGACAGTCTAGGGCCATGATGGAGAACCTATGGCACGCAGAGGTGGCACACAGAACCCTCTCTGCTGGCACGCCCCAGGACAGATCTCCGTGGCATTTCTTTCGTGAGCTTCTGTTTCCCTGCAAACGACAAAACAGAAGCTCACGAAAGAAAAAGATCTTACCTCTTGCTGCGCTACCGGTGTTGGGATGCCCCGCCTCCCACCGGCCAGCTGGTCTTCAAGTCTCTGCTGCGCACATGTGCGTGCATACTCACGCAGGCACATGTTCATGCATGTTTGGGCCAGGGGTGAAATCTACTTACCTTCCTTACTGGCTCGGAAGTGCGCGCGTAAAAAACACATTACTTCCTGGTTAAAACCAGGAAGTAATGATACCCGGGTGGGTGGGCAGAACTTTGCTCCACTGTCGTTACCGGATCGCCGAACCAACGGCCAAGATCGCTACTGGACCAGGTGATCCGGTTCGATCCGGGAGCATTTCACCCCTGGTTTGGCCTTGCATGTGCACACAGTTTGGGCACTGGGTGTCTAAAAGGTTTGCCATCACTGGTCTAGGGGATGAAGCAAAATCAAGGTCATCAGCCTTGGCCTTGCTGGTGTCAAGGAGGTCTTGATACCTCCTTCCTTGGGTTTCTGGTCAACTCTCAAGCAGAGCAAACTTTCCTTTTTAGTTTTGCTATTCCTCAGCAGTAACTATGCAGTCAGCCAGAGCAGGTGACCTGAAGAATCACAGAATCATAGCGATGGAAGGGACCTTGGAGGTCTTCTAGTCCAGCCCCCTGCCCAAGGCAGGAGCCCTTATACCATCTTGGACAAAGAGATGTTCAATCTTTTCTTGAAAACCTCCAGTGATGGAGCACCATCAACTGATCAACAGGAGGAAGTCTATGGAGATTCTCTGTGATTCAGGTCATGGTTGTCCCAAAGGTGCTTTAAAAAAAAAAAAAGCAACTGGATTTTCTTTGTTTTTCCTTCTTATCTAAAAAGCTTCTTCAGAAGCAAAATGTCTTCAAGAAAAACCAAAGAAAGTACAGTTGCCTTTTTTAAAAAGTATCTTTGGGAGGATCAACAGGAGCTTAGAAAGCGGTATATAATTATTGCCACAGGTTGGGTTCCATCACCAATCTGAGGAAGGCAGTGCCACAGGAAACTCTTGTCTTGTACCTTGTATGTCAATGAATGCTAACGTGGTCACTAAGTGCACCTCTTAAATTATGGGGATGACTTCTGCTTCCTTGGATTCAACCATGCCATTGATATTGATACTTCTCCCGCAGCATGTGAGGGACAATTAGATCATGGATCAGAAATCCCCTTCACCACCCATAACTCAAACCAATAATCTATCATTGTGTCAACTTGGCCAATAAAAGGGCAAGGCACTTACTTGATTAGCTTCACGTTCTTCATTGCTGGAAGGACCATAGCTATCTCTTTCATGCCTGCATCATCAATCTTGTTGTAGCTTAAGCTTTAAAAGAAAATGCACAAACATAGACCTGAGTACTTACGAGACCACCTGCTGCAACTGATAACCCCCCACCAACCAATACGCTCTCACAGAGTAGGCCTACTCATCGTACCATCATTAAAACAATGTCGTCTAGTAGTTCCAAGGGAGAGAAGCCTTCTCTGTGGGGGCACCTATTCTTTGGAACAAAAAACCCCCTGGAATACGAATAATCCCAGATCTTCGCACTTTCTGACGTGCCCTGAAGACCTTTCTGTTTCAAGCCTTGGTAGTACAGTGGTCTAAGGCACCCTGTTATTAAGCTGGTTATTAACACCAGCTGCCTGCAATTACTGCAGGTTCGAATCTCACCAGGCTCAAGGTTGACTCAGCCTTCCATCCTTTCTAAGGTAGGTAAATTGAGGACCCAGTTTATGGGGACAATAAACTGACTTTGTATAAATATACAAAAAGGATGAAGGCTATTGCTGAGCACATTGTAAGCCGCCCTGAGTCTCCGGAGAAGGGCGGCATATAAATCAAATTAAAAAAAAAAAAAACAAGCAGGGCTTGCATAAACATCTAAATTCTATGCCAATGTCTTAGCAGATACACTAAGTTGACTCAATTTATTATTTACTATTTATTTTTTTAAAAAAATTATTATATGTATATGAAATCTTATTCTATTCACCGCCCTGAGTCCTTCGGGAGAAGGGCGGTATAGAAATTCAATCAATCAATCAATCAATCAATCAATCAATCAATCAATAAATAAATAAATAAATAAATAAATAAATCATCATCATCATCATCATCATCATCATCATCATCATAATGGATCAAAGAAAGAAGTCAGGTGTCATCCATGTATCTGGTTATAGTTCAGAGTTGGGACTGACTATTTTTGGTAGAATCTCAGGATCCACCAAAGCCAGGTGGAATATCTATGTTTCAAAATACCCAACATGAGATTTTATGATTTATGTTGGCTACTCTTTGGGTTTTTCATCTGTTGGCTGTCATTGTTCTTTCAAAGAACAGCTACACAATGTAGAGTTGTTATCCTCCGCTGGTTTTCGTTTCTTTCCCTGTAGTTGGGAATGACACAGTGATCTGGGAGCGCCCTTCCTTTTGTCTGCTGACTTTCAAAACTATAGGACAAGAAGCCTTGATGGTGTCCCAGCAAGTGGCAGCATCAGGTTGATCTTGTACACCCAGCATACAAACTGGGTGAATACTGGCTGGGTTTGTACTGGGATTGTGCCAGGGGTGAAATCCAGCAGGTTCTGACAGGTTCTGGAGAACCAGTAGCGGAAATTTTGAGTAGTCTGGAGAACCGGCAAATACCACCTTTGGCTGGCTCCAGAGTAGGGTGGGAATGGGGATTTTGCAATATCCTTCCCCCAGCAATGGGGAGGGAATGGAGATTTTGCAGTATCCTTCCCCTGCCTCGCCCACCAAGCCAGGCCCACAGAACTGGTGGTAAAAGAATTTGGATTTCACCACTGGATTGTGCCCACCAAGAACTCCAACTCTTGTACTTCTTGAGGAATTGCCTTTTTCTAAGAGTCTCTCTCTACCCATCCAATTTGAACCAATGGATCGGGCATGATGCAGATCCCATCAGCCAAAAAGTGTTGGTTGGCAGAGACTAGAAGACAAGCAGAGTGGTCTACTCACGTATTTTTGCAGGCACTGGTCTACTCATGTATTTTTGCAGGCACTGGTCTACTCATGTATTTTTCCAGGCACTGGTCTACTCATGTATTTTTGCAGGCACTGGTCTACTCATGTATTTTTCCAGGCACCGGTCAACCCATTTATTTTTGCAGGCACCGGTCTACTCATTTGTTTTTGGAGGCACCGGTCTACCACCAAACTGCTTTTTACCACTGATCAGCTGTAGGGCGGCCCTTTGAAGCCCCGTGGCAAGAGTTTAAACAGTTTTTTTCCTTATAGCCATTATAGTCAGCTGGGACTCAGGAGGCAGCAATAGATTGGGGGTGGGGCCAAATAAAAGGTAAGAATAACGTGGAGGGGTGGGGGAGGTGGGGGGCAGAACCGGTTCGGTGATGTCATATCATCACCGCTACCGGCTCAGCGGAACCGGGCGGAACCAGGAGGAACCCACCACTGCTCTGGAAGCTGTGGATGCTCCGTCACTGGAATTTTTCAAAAATTAGGCTGGTCAATAACTGGAGAAGGAACTGGCCACATTTCTTGGCTCTGCCGTTTATTCAAAATACCACATGAGTCCTTTTCTGAACTGGGGACAGACATTGATTAGACCAATCCAGCTCAATGATCAATGGAATCAATTGGAGACCAATGGAAGAAGACCTGAAGGCATTTCCAAACTGTGTCAGGTAATCCATAGGGCAGTGATGGTTAATCTTTTTGCTGTTGCATGCCAAAAGCATGGGGAGCGTGGGGGGGGTCACATACACGTGCCCACACCCATAATTCAATGCGCTCTGTCCACCCCACATGTGTATGCCCCCCCCCCCACATGCTCCCACCAATTTTGGCACGTGATGGCACAGGGGGCCCAGTAGGCCCATTTTTCACTTTCCCCAGGCCCCAGAGGCTTTCTTGGAGCCTGGGGAGGGTGAAAATGGCCTTCCCCACCCACAGGCCAGAAACAGTCTATTTCTGGACTTCTGGTGGGCCTGGAAGGCCCGAAAATCAGCTGGCTGGCATGCGCATGCACCCTGGAGCTGAGCTACGGTAATGCTCGTAGCGATGTGGCGCTCCCATGTAACGCCTCTCCTGCGCGAGCTGCACTGGCTCCCGGTGGTCTTCCGAGTGCACTTCAAGGTTTTGGTTATCACCTTCAGAGCGCTCCATGGCTTAGGACCTGGCTATTTGTGGGACCGCCTGCTACCACCAATAGCCTCCCACCGACCAGTACGCTCCCATAGAGAGGGGCTCCTCCAGGTGCCGTCGGCCAAACAATGTTGACTGGCGGCCCCCAGGGGGAGAGCCTTCTCTGTGGGGGCACCTACGATCTGGAACTAGCTCCCCCCGGAGATACGGAGGATCCCGGATCTGCGTACCTTCCGTCGCGCACTTAAGACGTTCCTATTTCATCAAGCTGGCCTGACCTAAATTTTCCTCTTTTAAATGGGAATTTTAAATTTGGTTTTAAATCATTGGGGTTTTAAAATGGTTCAGCCAAATTTATTTAATTGGTTTTATCTCTATTTTAAATTTTGTATCTATATGTTTTATTTTAATGGCTGTTCACCGCCCTGAGTCCTTCGGGAGTAGGGCAGTATATAAATTCAATTAAATAAATAAATAAATAAAATGCTCGTGTTCCCACAGATATGGCTCTGCGTGGCACCTGTGGCACACGTGCCATAGGTTCGCCATCATGGCCATAGGGGATAAAATTGACAGCAGTGTGAAAATGCCCTCAGAGTGAAGGAAAACAGTGAACAGTGCAAATGAAAAACGTGGACTTACTCGATTTCTTCTATTTGAGGTGTGGTCTTCAAAACTTCTGCAAGGTGGGAAGACATTTGACTGTCGAGATGGTTATTGTTCAAACTAGAAAAGAATTATATATACAAAAACCCAAATAAACATAGGTCAGTTGGTTTATGTGAGGTCATGTTTCCTCAGCAAGAGAATGGTTTTTCAAAAAGGGGAGTTAATAAAGAGGACTTTTTTGGGGGTCAGGACATGAGATGTCAATTTATGCTATGGGAAGCTGGTAGTCCTCCAGATGCTGCTGGACTTGAGTCTCCCTAGGTCTCAGACTCCACTACAGAAGATGGAAATGTAATCCAGGCATTGTTCAGATCCCAGATGGCTGGGCGGAACTCAATCTACAGACACTTACCCAAGTTTTTTCAGGAAAGGCATTGTAGAGAGCCTTGAAGACAACTTCAGAATTGTGGTGTTGTCAAGGTTCAAGGAGCCAAAACTAAGAAATAGATAAAGAGGATAGAGATCATATATTATGATAATAGAACCCCATTTTGGATATTTCTGCTGTTTAGGTAACCCAATCAGGACATGAGAAATATCCCTAGATAACAGCAGCTGTTCAACCTTTCAAGCTAACCCTTCAAGCTAACACTTGAACCTGTAACATTTTGCTTATCCTAAAAAAAAAAGAACCCAAACATGAACCAAACATGAATTTAGAAAGCTCAAACTGCCCCACAAGCTGCTGATCCAGTTCTACAGAGGAATCATTGAGTCTGTTATCTGCACCTCTATAACTCTCTGGTTCGGTTCTGCAACCCAACAAGGCAGACACAGACTTCAGAGGATAATTAGAACTGCAGAAAAAACAATGGCTACCAAGCTGCCTTCCATTGAGGACCTGTATATTGCATGAGTCAAAAAGAGGGCTGTGAAAATATCTACAGACCAGGGGTGGGTTCTACTTACCTTTATTACCTGTTCGCAGCGGGGCCGCGCGCACAACCCTAACCCTAACTTCTTCTCCTGCCTTGGGTGCTTTGGAGAATATGTTGACCTCCTCTTCTCTGTGACCGCCCCTCAAAAGCAATAGCACTTAGACTTAAATACCGCTTTACAGTGCTTTACAGCAATGGTGAAATGTTACCAGTTCGCTCTGGTTTGAGTTCGTGCTACAAGGAGGCTTGGGAAGATAAGTAGAATAGTGAGGTGGGGGGGATCAGTTGTGGTGCGCAGTTTAGCTTCGCTAGAAAGCAGGAAATCACTGAGCTATACCGCGCGGCACAGGTGATCGTCGGATCGTAGCTTTTTTTTAACTATCGGTTCACCCGAACCAGTAGCTAAAGCAGCTAGCTTTTTAAATATGCAGCGTGCATTTGGTGCGCACTAAACATATGCACACAGCGTGCATTTGGTATGCACTGTGCAGGTGCACAGAGCAGGTTTTGGTTTGCACTGCGCATGTGCACACAGCGTGTGTTTGGTGCGCACTAAACATATGCACACAGCAGGCATTTGGTGCACACTGTGCATGCGCACGCAGCCTACATTTGGTGCACACTGCGCATGTGCATGGAGTGCATGTTTTGTGCGCACTGCACATGCAGCACGTTTGGTGTGCACTGCGCATTGCATGCAGTGCGTTTGGTGCTCAATGCACATGCACATGCGCATGCAGCATGTGCTTGGCGTGGAGCATGCATGCGCAGCCAGTGAACTGGTAGCAAACCAGTTCAGATTTCACCCCTGCTCTACAGCCCTCTCTAAGTGGTTTACAGAATCAGCCTATTGCCCCCAACAATTTGGGTCCTCATTTTGCCCACCTCAGAAGGACGGAAGGCTGAGTCAACCTTGAGCCTGTTGAGATTTGAACTGCCAAATTGTAGTCAGCTGGCAGTCAGCAGAAATAGTAGTAGACTGCAGTACTGCACTCTAACCATTGCACCACCATGGCTCAAATATTAGAAGACTGCTATCAAGTCCTTCTCTTTGTTAGACTAGACATATCCAGTTCCTGCAACTGTTCATCGTATATTTTAGCCTCCAGCCCCCTAATAATCTTTGTTGCTCTTCTCTGCACTCTTTCTAGATTTCAACATCTTGTTTTGTATGGTGGTGACCAGAACAAGCATATTTAGGCATCATCTCATCCTCTACACAAGAGTGAACCCATTAAATAACACTGGAATTATTGGAACAAAGTCAATAAACAATTGGAATTCCATTAGATGGCATCCCACACCCTATGGCAATATATACTTAAAGGCAACTTACTTGATACTCTTTAAGTGGTGTTTGCCCTCCAAAGCATCAAGGAGAACACTGAGACTGACCAAGCTGAGATCACTATTGGAAAAACTAGAAGTGGAAGGAAAGTGCAAGTTTTTAGAAAGGTTGTTCAGAAAAGAATGGAAATAGGAAACTGGCATAAGGTATAGTGAGCCTATGAAAGAGAGGCAAATCTGAAAGTGGTTCATAAGGATAATTGTTTACATTTATAACTTTGCTTTACAAATGTACATTCAAGAACAAAACCAAGAAAAACTTTACAAAAACACATATTCTAATAAAAATATTTAAAATAAAAATAAATAAATGAGAATTCACTTTAAAAAAACAATTTCCATTATTTTCAAAACGAGGGTAAAAGGCTGTGCATTAAGGGGCATCATTTCTGCTAAATTAAATGACCAGAATAAAGGACAAGAGTGAAAAATATAAATAAATATAAATAAATATAAAAGACAGCTTTCTGAAACTCAAAGTAAACTGGTCTTAATTTTGTTTAGTAGGGAGGGGCGGGGAGAGAGGGAAACTGGCAGCCTTTCAAGATTCTGTTATCCTTCCTGGAATGCTTGCAGTTTCTTGATCTGGTCTACCTCACAGGGCTGACATCAATCCTGCTTCCTTTATGGTTCATTCCTTTGCCCCCCGCCTCCCCAATTAGGTCTCTCATATCCTCTCCCAGGTAAACTCCTTTATAGTTTGTAAAGTCACAAAAGAGGAAGGACACCACATTGAGAAATCCCACATTTCCCATCTCCCATGCTTCTCTCATGCGCTACTAAACCTCCTAGGATGGCAACCAGCAAAAGCGAGCATCGGCGGTCCAATGAACTTCAAAAGTCTTCTACAGCTCATGTCATAAACAATAAATCTGTCTCCTGAGATGGTAATTTAGTGAATATCCATTTCTTCCCCATTCGCCAATCCTTTTCGGTTTGCTTCTTCTCCCTGCTGTTTTGCTGGAACAGTTTTATTTAGATTTAGTTGTTTGGTATAGTTTTATTTCATTTCTAGCAGATGTTGTTATTTTATCTATTGATTTAAGGTTCTTCAGGGCAGAATTAAGCTACTGTTCTTTGGCACAGGAGAAGGCTTAAGATATGCCTGTTTATAGAAATGCAATCATTTTTCCAAACCCTTCTCTATCTCTCTTCTCTTTGCACCAACAGCAGAGAAGAGGAGGATGGGTAGGACTTTGGGTGCCCTTGACTCAGAGTCTTTTGCTCTGAGTTCTCCATCCTGTTGAGTGACGTCATGGGGCCAAAGAATGAATCACTCTTTTTCTCTTTTGCTAACACCCATCCTCCACCATAGAACACAGAACACAGAATCTGTTGTGGCCCGCCAGCAGCCAGCAGATCTGGCAGCAGATTCGGACAGTGAGGAGGTTGGGGAGGAACATGGGCCAGTCCTGGAGTCTGGGGAAGGCTCGGACCAGGGCTCTGCATCAGAGGCAGAGATGGGGCCAGGGCCGTCTGACAGTTGTCAGCTGCCTTAGGAGTCAGACATCAGTGAGGCGGACGAACAGCTGGAGCCTGTTTCCAATGTGTGCATACGCAGAGCTGCCAGGAGAAGGGAACAACTAAGGAACAAGGATCAACTTGGGAATAAGGCCACAGGTAGATGATGAATGGCCTGTCCCAGAGGGAATAAAAGAGGAGTGAAAGGGGAGGGGAGTTTGCAGGAGACAATTAGTTAATTCCTGCATTTTTGCCAAGTATTGCGGCGTCTGAAAGATATCGGCCTGGCCACTCTCCAAGCCTGATAAAGGTCGGTAATTGTGAACTATCTTGCAAGACTGTGGGAGAGGAAAGACTTTGCTGGAGAGGAATTCACTGTAAATTAAATAAAAAGGGGTTTATCGAGACGAGGACTCGGCTTCATACTGCTGGGGAAGCCTAGGTCAGGAGAGAATCATAGGGGTGGCAGGGACCTAACAGGCCTGTTAGTCCAACCCTCTGCTCGAGCAGGAGACCTTATGCCATCCTGATCAAATGGCTGTCCAATCTATTTTGAAAACCTCCAGCAACTCCGAGAGCGCAAGCTGTTCCATTGATTAACTGTTCTCACAGTCAAGAAATTTCTCCTTAGAAATTAGGTTGGATCTCGTTTTTACAAACTTCCACCCATTCCTTCTTGTCCTGCCCTCAGGTGCTTTGGAGAATAAGACAGTCCCCATGTTGTAGGCTGTATTGCTATTATCCTTGTCATCTTCTCCTACTTCTCACCTCTCACCTTTCCTACGGTACTACCTTCTCCTATTGGTATATTATGATTTATCAATTGTTGTTTCATGTTATGATTTATGATCCATGACTTATCACTGTTGTTTGTATGCAGACTGAGAGCTTATGCACCAGAGACAAATTCCTTGTGTATCAAATCACAATAAAGAATTCTATCTTCTATCATTCTTCTCTTCTCTTCTCTTCTCTTCTCTTCTCTTCTCTTCTCTTCTCTTCTCTTCTCTTCTCTTCTCTTCTCTCCTCTCCTCTCCTCTCCTCTCCTCTCCTCTCCTCTCCTCTCCTCTCCTCTCCTCTCTTCTCTTCTCTCTCCTCTCCTCTCCTCTCCTCTCCTCTCCTCTCCTCTACCATTCCCATTCCCATTCCCATTCCCATTCCATTCATGTCCTCCCTAATCCTTCTCTTTCATAGGCTAGTTTCCCTCTCCTCCTGAATCAGCTGTTGGTGAGAAAAATTGTCACCAACTGCCACACGTGCCTCAGATAAGGATGGTGGGTGACTGGGATGGAGAACTGGGCCACCTTTGCAGTCGCCCAAGTGACAGGATGGAGGTTCCCCATCAAAAATGAGTCACTTGGGATATTTTTGAATGCAGGTCTATCAGTCTCCTGGGAGGCCCATTGACTGAAGTAACATCAAACCTGGGCGCAGTCTTCTCTAAGACCGGCAAACCATTGTTCAAAAATAGCCCAGCAACCCATTACAGACCAGTAGACAATTTTACTGGCCTTTCCTTCACTGGAGCAAACTCTAGCAGCTCCTAGCTCTCATCATAAGGAAATTTTAGAGCAAGTAGACATATTGCATCAAGAACTTTGATTGGCTTTAATCTAATTCTAGATTAATAGAATTAATAACGGAAAAAAAATCCATCTCGTCAATAAAATAAATTCCTTGAAGATGAATACAGGTAGTCCTCAACTTACAACAGTACATTTAATGACGGTTCAAAGATACAACGGCTAAAAAAAGTGACTTATGATCATTTTTCACACTTATGCAGCATCCCTATGATCACATTCTCAAAATTTGGACACTTGGCAACTGACTCATATTTATGATGATTGGCGTGTCCCATGGTTATGGTATCCCCTTTCCAGGGGTGGGTTCTAAAATTTTTTACTACCGGTTCTGTGGGTGTGGCTTATTTTGTGGGCGTGGCTTGATGGTCATGTGACAATTCTTTAGGATTTAGCAGAGGTACTGGTCTACCAGGCTTTTAACTGCTTGCAGAGCCGTCTACTCATTTGTTTTTGGAGGCACCGGTCTACCCATTTATTTTTGCAGGCACCGGTCTACTCATTTGTTTTCTTTTAACACTGATCAGCTGTAGGGCAGCCCTTTGAAGCCCCGCAGCAAGAGTTTAAACAGCTTTTTTCTCTCTAGTCGATAGCTGGGACTCAGGAGGCAGCAATAGATTGGGGGTGGGGCCAAATAAAAAGTAAGAATAATGTAGGGACGGTGGGGGGCGGGGGGGCAGAACCGGTTCAGTGACATCATATCGTCACTGCTACCGGCTCGGCGGAACCGGGCGGAACCAGAGGAACCCACCACTGCCCCTTTCGTAACCTTCTGACAAGCAAAGTCAGTGAGGAAGCCAGGTTCACTGACAACCGAGTTACTAAACAACTGTAGTGATTCACTTAACAACTGTAGCAAGAAAGGTTGTAAAATGGGGCAAAACTCACTTAACAATTGTTTCACTTTGCAGCAGAAATTTTGGACTCAATTGTGGATATAAGTCAAAGACTACCAGTGTCCACCTCATCAATAAATCATAAGTCATAAAAACGAGTACTAACCATCTTTATGAAGCCCCTCCTTAAAGGAATCCTAAAACAAAGAACTTTCTCATTCCAAAAATCTGTATTTTGCAATAGGGAATTAGAAATCGGTAGCAGTTGCCAACATATTAGGTTTTACACTTACTTAATATCTTCAATGGCAAAGCCCCGTCGCAATATCTCAGCTACGTATTCAACGCTGGTGGGAGGAATCCGGTCATCGGTTAACCTGGAAATCCAGAAACAGGGCAAGTCGAGAAGAGTCTGGGGGTGTGATTGAACCACTTATTTTCCTATGTGTGGCACTTGTGCAATGCACAGAGAAACATTTGTTCATGTAGTGACATCTCTCTCTCTCTCTCTCTCTCTCTCTCTCTCTCTCTTTATCTCTCTCTCTCTCTCTCTCTCTCTCTCTATCTATCTATCTATCTATCTATCTATCTATCTATCTATCTATCTATCCATCTGCCCACCAACCCACCCACCCATCCATCTCAGTGTTTCTCAACGTTGGCAACTTTAAAATGGGTAAACTTTAATCCCAGAATTCTCCAGCCAACTATCTATCTAGCAGATAGATAGATAGATAGATAGATAGATAGATAGATAGATAGGAATGGATGGATGGATGGATGGATGGATGGATGGATGGAGAGAGAGATGGATAGATGGATGCATAGATGGATGAATGGATGGATGGATGGATGGAGATAGACAGACAGACAGACAGACAGACAGCTATATGGATGGATGGATGGATGAAGAGAGAGAGAGAGATAGGAATGGATGGATGGATGGATGGATGGATGGAGAGAGAGATGGATAGATGGATGGATAGATGGATGGATGGATGGATGGAGATTGACAGATAGACAGACAGACAGATATATGGATGGATGGATGGATGGATGAATGGATGGATAGGTAGGAATGGATGGATGGATGGAGAGAGAGATGGATGGATAGATAGATAGATAGATAGATAGATAGATAGATAGATAAGGAATGGATGGATGGATGGATGGATGGATGGATGGATGGAGAGAGATGGATGGATGGATGGATGGATGGATGGATGGATGGATGGAGATTGACAGACAGACAGGCAGGCAGGCAGATATATGGATGGATGGATGGATGGATGGATGGATGGATGGATGGATGGATAGATAGATAATCATCCTCTACAGTATCTTATCTATTTAGATCTCTCATCTCTCTCTACATTTATATCTTCTATAGTACTTTATTTCTCTCTTTTTCTATTTATCTCTCTATCTAATTTTTACACCATTTAACTCATCTGAATGGACTTTGGGAGATTTACAATACAAAACATAAAGTGGTGTAAAAAAATATAATTAACAGAGTTATAAGCAGAATTAAGGACAAAGTTAGAAATATGGCAAAAGCAAATCTTGGGAAATGAAGAGATGAAGAGTTTCACAAACAAGAGGAGGGGGAACAAGACTGTAGACATCCAGAATCTAATAAAGATAACAAAGATAGGCAGCCAACTCATCCCGTGCCTTGGTTAAGATTGGACCTACCAAAGTTTCTGCAGTGCTGGAAAATGCACCAAAGCATCAAATGAGGTTGGTCCTTCAGCATCAGGAAGCAGTGTGTGAGATGTCCTGGAGCAGCCAAACCACCTTGATCAATTAATCAAATGAAGAATCAATGCATCTAATATTAAGCCAAAATATTATTTGTTTTTGGCTTAAAGTGACCCAGGAACTCACTCCCTGGGCTGTTTTTAGCATTCGATTATCACTTTGTTATTGGTTTATGAATCGTAGCTTCTTTCAATCATGCCCTTGTATCTGAATTCCCAATCCTTATTTTTGATTTATTCACACCCACTTTAGTCAAATAATTTTCTAAAAATACTCTGAAATAAGACTGAGGAGGATATTCACTGGGGGACTCCATAGAACATTGCTTTCAATAGCTTTGATTGAATTCATATGCTAAACCACACAAATCAGTTCTTATAACAATGAATAATCTGGTTACTAAGTGGACTCATTTTCAGGGTTTATACAATAGACTGAGCTATAAATTAACCAAATAGGTAAGGCTCACACAATATGCTAAACCCCGAACCAATTATGGTCAAAACCTTCAGACTAGAAGACTGTATATATATATTTGTATGCAGAGCCGTGGTGGTGCAATGGTTAGAATACAGTACTGCAGGCTACTTCTGCTGATTGCCAGCTACCAGCAATTCAGCAGTTCGAATCTCACGGGCTCAAGATTGACTCAGCCTTCCAACCTTCCGAGGTCGGTCAAATGAGGACCGAGATTGTTGGGGGCAAAAGGCTGACTCTGTAAACTGCTTAGAGCAGGAATCTCCAATCTTGGCAACTTTAAGACTTGTGGACTTCAGCTCCCAGAATTCCTCAGCCAGCTTTGCTCAGCCACGCTTGGTGAAGACACCAGTAAAAGGATTTGCTTACCTGTTGACCACAAACTCTCTTTTCCCCACCTGGGGAGGAAATTTCTGTTCCAGCATAAAGAGGGAACCAGCTTTCCTTTTGAAAAGTAAAAAAAAGCAAGAAAAAATATAGATTGGCTGAAAGATTTAAGGTTATACTTAAAATAGCCCAAAAACCTGAAGGTACATTCCACTTGTTTAATCCAGCTATGCAATACCTGGAGTGTATTTCCCATGGATTCTCTCTAAGCCTCATGCTACCTTTCTCTGGAATCTCCTGAGAACCTTCAGGACCACCACTGATTTTGTAGAACAGCCTATTCCCAAGTTTAAACAACACAATTCTTAGTCACATCAGCTAGTGGGGCCCAGAAGGTGAGCCTATTTTGCCAAGGTGCCCATTTTATAGAACATTCTTCCTCTGGGAATTAGAAAGAACCCAATCCTGCTTGGCTTTTAAAAGGTCCTCAAGACCTACTTCTATGCCTGGGTCTTGGGTTCTTTGCATTAAAATAAAGGTAAAGGTTCCCCTCGCACATATGTGCTAGTCGTTCCCGATTCTAGGGGGTGGTGCTCATCTCCGTTTCAAAGCCAAAGAGTCAGCGCTGTCCGAAGACGTCTCCGTGGTCATGTGGCCAGCATGACTCAATGCCAAAGGCGCACGGAATGCTCTTACCTTCCCATCAAAGATGGTCCCTATTTTTCTGCTTGCATTTTTTACGTGCTTTCGAACTGCTAGGTTGGCAGAAGCTGGGACAAGTAACGGGAGTTCATCCCATTATGCGGCACTAGGGATTCAAACCGCTGAACTGCCGACCTTTCAATCAACAAGCTCAGTGTCTTAGCCACTGAACCACCATGTCCCTTCTTTGCATTAGTGATTGACAATTCTGATTTTTTTCCCCAATTTGTGATTGGAATGTTTTTTAATTATTTTAAGATTGTTTGTCCCCAAGAGTTGTCTGAAAGTTGAGTCATGGCAACTGGACTTAGTTTCGTGTTGGTTTCAGACATTTCACTGCTCACCCAAGTATCTTCATCTGTCAGAACAAGTTAGTTAGAAAAACAGTTGTTGGAATGTACCATTTCCTCCCACACTAACCATAGGGGTTTTTTCTTCAAAAAGTGTGGCAATATGTGAAGATTCTCAGTCATTCAAGTAAAACTGTTGAAAGTTGAGTCATGAGGCAACTGGACTTTTTATTGTTGTTGGTTTGAAACATTTCACTGTTCATCCAATGATGGAGCTTCTTGGATGAGCAGTGAAACATCTCAAATCAACAAGAGAGTAAGCCTAGTTGCCATGACTCAACTTTCAGACAATTTTACCTGGATGACTGAGAATCTTCATCAACACTGACAGTTATTTGTCAAGATGGATGTCTAAAGGAAGGAAGGAAGGAAGGAAGGAAGGAAGGAAGGAAGGAAGGAAGGGTGAGATCCAATCTACTCAAAAGCCATTATATCCTCAACTGCAATCCAACACAGGGCCTGAATAGGACCCTACCCTACAGAAAGCAACAGTCAACAAATGAGACAGAGGATTTAATTACATGATGGTAATCACTTCTCCCTGGACTTCAGCAGCCAGGCTCAGGAGGGCAGGAAAACTTTCATGTGTCACCCATGGTTCTTCTATGCTAGAAGACAAAGCAGAAGAGGTGAGAGAAGCATATTTCCACTCAGAAGGTTCCTCATGGTTTTCCCCTTCATCATAAAGGAACCCTAGACCACATTCACATAGAAGTATTATTATTATTATTATTATTATTATTATTATTATTATTATTATTATTAGCGTATGGCGTTGTTACAGAAGCCAGGAGACCACAATGCTATTGCAGAGTAATAGTTTGGCTTGCCAAGATACCAGCCCTGTTGTAGGACACACTTGCACATTTCCCAAGGTGTGCCACAAGAGAACAAGCTGGCTTCGCACCAGAAAGATAAACAGCTCTTCCTGCAGCATCACCCACGACCCCTCCCACCACCATAGCTGCCTCACAAATGGGTGCCGCAACCGGAAAGGTTCAGAGCCACCAGGAATCTGACTGCCTGCACAGAGCACCAGCTCGACTCCCCACCAAAGTGGTACCTATCTATCTACTTGCATAGAACATGATTTCAAACTGTTAGGTGGACAGCAGTGGAGGCGAGTGATGGGAGTTCATCCTGCCAGGCAGGGGTAGGGCTCAAACTGCCGAAGCTGAGACCATCTCCAGCATCATTAAGACACTGAGCCACCATACCTCTTCATGCAGAAGTGAACATTAGATATCATCAGTGCAATGTTATCACCTAATTGGGTAATGAAATGAAATATCTGAAAACAACCTTTAAATGGTTCAAAGTTTAAGTGAGCTTTAAATAAAAACAAGAAGTGTTTATGATAAAATAAAGATAGAAAGATAATTATAATAGAAGTGAGAAGTTAAGGTGACTAAAAGTGACATTTTCATAAAAGCATAATTTGATGTAATATGTTTAATTTTAATTTGATAACAAAAGGGTGGATGATAATTATGATCAATTGTTAACGATTATAGATGATATACTAAGGTACACAGATGGAAATTATAATTGTGATTGAACTTAACATATGTTGGAAATGATTAATATTAAAAAAATAGATGGGGATACACCCTGGAAGAGTATAGTTGCAAACAGTGGATTAATAGATAACATATTGAAAAAGAAATTTTTAAAACAGTTAGCAGAATAGTAGTTGAAGCTTATGGAGGAGAATATACTGAAAACTCAGCCAAAATAAGATAATGCTGGAAATCAGCCAAATAATAGGTGGAGTTATGGAGGAGAATGCTGTCAATCAGCCAAAATAAAGCATGCTGGAAATCAGCCAAAACAATGGAAAATGCTGTTAATCAGCCAAATAATAGTTGGAGTTATGGAGGAGAATGTGCTGAAAACTCAGCCAAAATATGCTATGCTGGAAATCAGCCAAACAATAGGTGGAGTGATGAAGGAAAATGAGGAGAATACATTGAAGAATAATTATTAATAAGGGGTGAAAAAGAAAATGTTGGGCAATAATTAAAATGAAATGGGAAATGTTGAGATGTCTGTGTAAAAGTTTAAGACCAAGATAGGATGAATTGGATCTAGAAAATGAGAAAAATAGAAATAAATTTTGATTAATAAAGTGAAATAAAAATTGAGTTGTATACATTTGAATTAAGATTTGTGGTGATAAAATTGTAAGGTAAATATATAGATTAATAGATCAGATTGTTTTCGTGATTAATGTTGATGTTAAAAGCAGCGATGGAAAAAAATTTTTTAGATAGACCAGTATGATTTATAATTGAATTTATAATTGAATATAAAAATGAGCTTTGCTTTAGCAGGAGATTAAGATGTATGAGATAATAGAAAGATTTAAATTAAGATATTGGAATTTATGTTAAAATTATTTGTTCGTATTTGTTAAATTAGTATACCTATTTGTAACCGGACCAAGATTTCGTTCTTGAAAAAAATTCTTTTTTTTATGTTTATGTTGGAAAAAATAAAAAAAAAATTACAAAAAAAGAAGAAATATTTGAAAACAACCAATCTAACTCAAACACCAACAACTCCATAGTTTCATACTAAACTGCAATATTCATTTTTGAAAGTTCCACAGAGCTGGAAGTAACAATAAAACAAGGAACAATGCAGAATTTCTTTACACTTTCTAATTCCCTGATTATATACCTACTAACCTTATTTTTTGCATGCTAGTCGATCTTCTTAGAGACCTAAGGAGAGTTTTGGCACTTCTGAGTGTCAGGCCATTGTTGATTGATCTAGAAACAAATACAATAAGCTAGTGAAAAAATCTGGTTGGATAGCTCCTAACCAAACCATCAGACAGAAGAATGTTAGGAAATAATCACATGAACTCACATGAAATTGCTCAGGGCAGGGCATCCTTCCAGCCTACTCAACAGCTGTGCCAGATGTTCTGCTTGGAGGTTGCATTCCTTTAGACTAGAGGGGAAAAAACAGAAAATCAACTCAGGTGACTTGTTGCGCATAACTCAAGAAATCACAGAGATTGTCTACTCGTTTTCTCCTTGGATGAATGGGTAGGATTCTGAGTGAATGCTTAGTCATCTCTTCATTCTCCCTACTGCCCTCCCATCATAAAGGAGAAAAAGATAAATATAAACATTCTGCTGTGATCTTCCCAAGACCAGATGGGCCATCCTGGTGAGGAATGTGGTTTGCTTTTAATTTACTAAGTCCCCAGCAAAGAGATAAATTCCCATTACTAATTTCTCTTAGATAAGTATGTATCGGGGTGAAATGCTCCCGGTTCGGACCGGATCGCCTGGTCCAGTAGCGATGGTGGCGGGTGGTTTGGAGAACCGGTAGCAAAAATCCCTGCCCCCCCCCATTGCCCAGCTGAGCCGCGCAATCATCAGAGGCTTTGTTTTGATTTTTAAAAGCATTTTTTCTACAACCTCTTTGGCCGAAAAAATGCTTTTAAAAGTAAAAAAAAAGCCTCTGATGATCGCGCGGCTCAGCTGAGATCATCAGAGGCTTTTCAAAGCATTTTTTCTGCAACTCTTGGCCGAAGAGGTGGTTAAAAAAATGCTTTGAGAAGTCTCTGACGATCCCAGCTGAGTTGCCTGATCGGCAGAGGCTTTTCAAAGCATTAGAAAAAATGCTCTGAAAAGTTAAAAAAAAAAAGTTGGCCATGCCCACCCAGTCACATTAACCCCCCCACAAAGCCACGCCCACAGAACCGGTAGTAATACATTTTACATTTCACCCCTGAATTCAACCATCATCATTTTGAAAATCATACCCCAGATGGATAGTTGAAACGAACATACACAACATCTTGCACTAAATGTCATTTATATTGTAGAGGATATTAAAAGTAGGGAAATTGCAATAAAAGAGTATTGTAGGGGACATTACCTAAATATTCCATCAAGAATGATGTATACATGCCTTTCAAATATGCGCAGTGGTGGAATTCAAATTTTTTTACTACCGGTTACTAGCGTGGCTTGGTGGGAGTGGTGTGGCTTAGTGGGCGTGGCTTGGTGGGCATGGCAGGGGAAGGATATTGCAAAATCCCCATTCCCACCCGACTCTGGGGCCAGCCAGAAGTGGTATTTGCCGGTTCTCTGAACTACTCAAAATTTCCGCTACCAGTTCTCCAGAACCTGTCAGAACCTGCTGAATTTCACCCCTGGCTTAGCGGTTCTCATAGCACAGGCTTTGAACATTGACAGACTCCAGAAATAATTTACAAAATAAATTGCTAGAAGGAGAATTTGAGTAATATTTCACTTACCTCAGGATCTTTTGAGGTTTATCTTGTTTCTTGAGTCTGATAAGCAGCATTTTTTCAGAGCACAAACTGGCAAAGAAGGAAAAAATACACAATTTGAGAAAAAAAGCATGGAAAGGGCAAAGCTCTCTTGAAATGCCTGTTTATTCTGTTCAGACCTTAAAACTATTCTCTATTCCAAGATCCCCAGGGTTTCCCCCCACCCCTCAATAAATATGCCTAGAACTTAAAGAATGCAAACAAAAGCCATTATAGGATTTCTCTTCCACCTTCTAATGAATAAAGCAGAATCTGAAAAAACTCAGAATATCAGGAAGCAAAAAGAGATCTTGTTCTTACTTAAATGCTTCACAAGATATAAGGGAGAAACTAAGTTGGATTCTGGCCTTCAAAAACTTCAAAATGGCAGCCAACAACCACCTTGGAAAGTTTAAGACCTTTGGACTGGCTGGAAGAAGAAATCTGGGAGTTGAAATGCATAGGTCTTAAAATTGCCAAGGTTGGACACCTTTCCCATACGTGATCTACATTAAAAAGGGAGAGGGCTTTCACTGCAGAACTGTAATCACCATCATCTTTACTTTTTTTAATTTTGTCAACCCCATCACTTCAAATCCCAGTTTATATGCATCCCACTTTTGCTTCAACAGTGTTGATTAAGGAAGTCTCTTTGAGCATGATTCAATTATACATCCAAATCAAATTAATGGGTAGAATCCGATGGACAGTTTAGATGGAACTATCAAGTTCCATGCTTCAAAAGTGATCTTGGAGAAATATTTACTAAATTTATATGCTGCCCATCTCACTCTTTTTTTGCTTCAAACTTTAAGCACAGAATTGACTCAAGTAGTCCAATGAAGGAGAACCTACCCATCTATTTCCATTACTTTTTCTGTCCATTCTCCTTTTGATGCCTTCTGAAATAGAGCAGGTTAACTTCTAATCCATTTTTACAGTATATATTCTCTGCCTACTTCAAATCATTCTGAACATGTAGCTAGGCTACCTTTCTTCTCTGAAGACCCCATTTCTACATCCACAATAATACCAAAAGAAAAATAAATTACTACAAATTTATGGTTACACCTTGCTTGAACTTCAACCACATCATCCTTTGTGGCAAGGAAATTAACAAGCAGGAGAACTCCATCTGGCGAGATTCCATTGTGGTTGATTCTATGAAAGAAATGACAATTGACAGATTACTTCACTTTCTTTTCATAAAGGTTCAACGCATGTTACATGATTTTATTAAAAACTATCAGTAATTTTTTTTCTATGTGGTCAAGATGTTACTAGGGTAAAATAGTCCACCTTCCTAGATTCTATTATGCTTGAGTTTATAGTAGAATTAAAGGGATGTGGTGGCTCACTGGCTAAGATGCTGAGCTTGTCAATCGAAAGGTTGGCAGTTCAGCAGTTCGAATCCCTAGTGCTGCGTAACAGGGTGAGCTCCCGTTCCTTGTCCCAGCTTCTGCCAACCTAGCAGCTCAAAAGCACATTAAAAATGCAAGTAGAAAAATAGGGACCACCTTTAGTGGGAAGGGAACAGTGTTCCATGCGCCTTTGGTGTTGAGTCATGCTGGCCACATGACCATGGAGACATCTTCGGACAGCGCTGGCTCTTCGGCTTTGAAACGGAGATGAGCACTGCCCCCTAGAGTCAGGAATGACTAGCACATATGTGCGAGGGGAACCTTTACCTTTACCTTATACTAGAATTAAAATTGATGTATTATTTTCCTTTGGAAAATAAAAAAAGTGTTCGTAATTTTCTTCCAAAGCAATTAATGATACTGGCCTCTTTTATTCAAATTTCTTATTTAAAATCCCCAATAACAATTACTGATAACTTCCCAGTTTCACTTGTATGTCAATATCTAGGTCAGTTCTATTGCATATTAAGGGGAGGCTAAAGTTATCTTTATCATGACTATTCTCCAAAACACCTGAAGAAAGAACAAGAAGCAACAAGTGGAAACTTATCAAAGAAAAATCCAACCAGAAACTAAGAAGAAATTTCCTGACAGTGAGAACAATTAATTAGTGGAATGGCTTGCCTCCAGAAGCTGTGGGTGCTCTATCACTGGAGGCTTTTAAGATGACACTGGACAGCCTCATTTGTCCAGGATAGTGTGAGGATTCCTGCTCAAGCAGGGGGTTGGACTAGAAGACCTCCAAGGTTCCTTCCAGCCCTATGATTCTAGGATTCAACATTTCAATTGACAAGTTTATACGGTAGCTTTATGGCTCTTATTACATTTGAGCTTGCTGTTATGTGTTACAGCTACTTAGTTGATCATTGGCCATGAGCAAATAATGAGCATTTGGAACAAGTATGGTTCAATGGACCATGTGAATCTAGGAAATGCTAAAATGAGCATTTCCCCACCATTAAGCAATGACAGAACTGGTGAGAGAGACCCAAACACCAATACAACCTGGAGAAGAATAAGAGTCTATCGAGATTCTCAATCATCCAAGTCACAGTTGTCCCAAAGGGGCTTATTTTCTAAAAGGCAATTGGACTTTCTTGGAGTTTTTTCTTTGAAAATATTTCACTTCTCATCCAAGAAGCTTCTTGGGTTCAGAACTGAAGCTTGATGGATTAGAAGTGAAATGTTTTCAAGCTAAAAAACAAAAAAGTCCAGTGGCCTTTTGTAAAAAGCACCTTTGGGAGTACAGTAAGATTTATTTTATGTATTTAAAACATTTCTATAGCTACCAGTCTTTCCACCAACTCTGGGTGGCTCCCAAACAAAAATCAAAAGACATATAAAATCATTTTTAATACTATAAAACTCAACCAATTAAAACACACACAAAAAGAAACTGGCACTAATCAGCTCTAACTTTCGTGTGCTCCTAATAAAGCCACTCATCGTCTGGGAAGGATTTATGCAATGGTGGTGACAGTAGGGAGACAGCAGGTTGAGGTTCAACAGATAAAGTTACAAGGGGGACGTGTCACTTTCCCATAGAATCCCATAACTTCCCCTCTGCTTCTCACACTGAATCCACTTACTTCAATGAGCAGGAATTCTGGATCTTGGGCAAATGTCCGAGAATCCACCTTAATCCTTCATCGTCAAGATCATTCCCAGACAGACTGACAAAGGAATTTTTAAAAATGTAAGTTTCCAGGATACATATATTTAAAATGTCCCTATTGGTTCAGGAATTATTTTTTTTAAAAAAAGCTTAACCAAGTGCGAAGTTGTTCTCAATGGAAAAGTTGGATTCCATTCTCAGAGCAGCGTTTCTAATGATTAAATTTACAGATGACTGAGAAGACTGGTGAGTTTTTTTGCAACAAAATGAAAGTACAGTCAGTCCTTGACTCAGAACCATTAGTTTAGCAACTGTTTTAAGGGATAATAGCACTGAAAAATGTGATTTATGACCATTTTTCACATTAACAACCATTGCAGCAGCCCCACAATCACCTGAATTGTGTTGATAACTCAAGGACTACCTGTAGTTAGGCCGCGCTCTCTTCCAGAATGGTTCAATCATGACATCTTAAGAATCATAAGGCTGGAAGGGACCTTTCAAGGTCTTCTAGTCCATCCCTCTGCCCAGTTCTGAGTTCCCAGTTTGGTCTACAATATTGGTTTCTACAACCCTGATCTCTTATGCAAGCTTGAAGTCATTCATGCTTAGCTTCCCAGTTGCCTGATGCACTAATTTTGTAATTAGTAATTTGGTTTCCTAAAGATAATTGTAACAACTATTTTAATTATTTTAGAACTTTCCTGCTGTTATTTTGCTCTTTCCTGCTCTTATGTTGATTACAACTATTGTGGCAGTAATTAAGCCAATCCATTGTTCACTATAAGGTGTTTTTTGTTGGAAACAAATGTTTGTTTGCAGCAAAAACATCATAAATCAGTCACATAAATACAGCACACTGCAAACAGCTGGAGTAGAATGGGGTCACCTGCTTCAACAGAAGGTTGGATTAGAAGACCTCTAAGAGCCTTTCCAACTCTGGTAATCTGTAATTCTGTAATTCTAAACAACCACAAATATAGGCCAGTTGCTGAGCACTCAAACTATGGTCATATAACTGCGTGGGAAGGAGGGAAAATATCAGAACTTTCAATCCAGGTTGTAAGTAGTTTTTGGGAGGTCCGTCATAATTTAGGATGGTCACTAAGTGATAGGTCATAAACCAAGGATTACCTGTAAATGCTCAGTTTACAACAATTCATTTAGCGACCATTCAATTACAACAGCACTGAAAAAAGTGACTTATGACCATTTTTCACATCTGATCTTTGAAGCCTCCCTATGATCATGTGATCAAAAATTCAGACCCTTGGCAGGTGCTTCATACTTATGACGGTTGCAGCATCCCAGGGTCACGTGATCCCCTTTTGCGAACTTCTGACAAGCAAAGTCAATGGGAAAACCACATTCACTTAACAACCAGGTTAGTAACTTATTCACCGCAATGATTCACTTAACATCTGTGGCAAGAAAGGTCATAAAATGGGGCAAAACTCCCTTAACAAATGCCTCACTTAACAATATAATTTTGAACTCAATTGTGGTTATAAGTCGAGGACTAGCTGTAGCTATTGTGGTGGTTGAGTTTCGTTTTGCCTCCTCCGTTGCTTCTCAGGCTGGCTTTATTCATTTTCTGTTTCATCCATCATCTATTTTAATTAATGTATAATCTGTTCAGAACTGTGACAATCCATTAGTTTAGGTTTACAATCGACAAATCCACTGATATCCCCTCTTCACTCTGAGAGTGCAAGGCAGCAGTTCTGGTCTCCTCCCTTATTTTAAACTGACTAGAACCGTAATGGCGAACCTATGACACGCGTGCCACAGGTGGCACGCGGAGCCATATCGGTGGGCACGCAAGTATTGCCCTAGCTCTGCTCCAGCACGCACATCTGATTTTTCGGTCTTCCAGGCCCACTGGAAGTCGGCAAACAGGCCTTTTCTGGCCTCCAGAGGGCCTCCAGAGAGGTGGGGAAGCCTGTTTTCGCCCTCCCCAGGATCCAAGAAAGCCTCTGGAGCCTGGGGAGGGTGAAAAATGGGCCTACCAGGTCCACTGTGCCATTGCGTGCAAAAAGCGGAGGGAGCGTGCGCATGCACGGGGCGCATTGAATTATGGGTATGGGCACACACGCACATGACACACACACACACCGTGCTCCCCCTGCTTTTGGCACGTGACGGCAAAAAGGTTAGCCATCACTGAACTAGAACAACTCTGTTGTAGAGTTGAGAGAGAGATGGCAAACTCCATGCTTGGTGGAAATCTGGGTCTCCTTAGTCCCAGTTCAGCATCTCCATCTCTCCATCAGCGTCTCTCAACCTTGGCAACCTTAAGAAGTATGGACTCCAATTCCCAGAATTCCTCCGGGTCCCACGCCCACAAATTTAGTACAGAACTTTGTGAAACTGTGATAATACTCCTCTCTTACTCCAGTTCTGCAAGATGGTCACAGTTTTCAAATACGGCACACAGCTCTCTGAGAACGGGCTGGTCAATGCCACAGTTGATGAACCTGTTTGAAGAAAGTTCAAGGTGAAAGATAGAAGCAAGTCCTCTTTTAAATGTAGAAAATGATATTATAATAATGCATTTGTCTGAAAACTGGCTAATTAACCCAGGAAGAAAAGGGAACAACTATTGAACATTATTCAGCAAGCCAGGGATTGCTATAAAATGTAGTGGATTTTGTTCTGCCTTTGTCTCTTGCCTGACTTCAAGGATGTTCTCCTTGAAGTAGGGGAGCTGGGACCAAAGCTTAATCCAATTAATTTGAACAAAACACAACTTAAAATGGAATACAATTATTTTGCTTATTTATTAAATTTATGTGATGCCCACCTCATCAAGGGTCAACTCTAGGTGGTGTACAACCCATTAATTAAGTACAGCCAATTAGTTAAGTACAAATAATATATTTAATATAATTTTCATTTTGTGTTTGTGCAGCAATTTTGGAAGGGCTCTCCAAAGGCACCAATGAAAAGCCATTCAGCTCTGAGACTTCAAATTATGCGCTCTTGCAAAAGTAAAATAGAAAGGAAGGAAGGAAGGAAGGAGGGAGGGAGGGAAGGAGGGAGGGAGGGAGGGAGGGAGGGAGGGAGGAAGGAAGGAAGGAAGGAAGGAAGGAAGGAAGGAAGGAAGGAAGGAGCTAATCCTACTAACCTCAGCTTCAAAATGTTTTTTTTTTTAATGCTGTTTGACCATTTAATTTTTGGGGCTGTTTGTTTTCCATAATCTCACATACATGAAAGGGTGGCTAACCCTTGAACCAGTGGTGAAATCCAATTTATTTTTATTACCGGTTCGGTCGGCGTGGCTTGGTGGGCATGGTGTGGCTTGGTGGGCATAGCAGGGGAAGGATACTGCAAAATCCCCATTCCCTTCCCACTCCTGGGGGAAGGATATTGCAAAATCTCCATTCCCTCCCCACTCCCGGGGCCAGCCAGAGGTGGTATTTGCCTGTTCTCCGAACTGCTCAAAATTTCCGCTACCGGTTCCCCAGAACCTCTCAGAACCTGATAGATTTCACCCCTGCCCTGAACTATTCGGGTCCTTCCCTGGATTTTTAAAGCATGCAAGGTTTATACATGCACTTCAAAAAAACAAAAGTGTCATAAGAACATAAAGGATTGGACATCACAGACCTGCAGAAGAGTGCTTCACTTGCTTGATTTTCCACAAAACACAAAAAAGCATTTTTCCTTGATCTAGAAACATAACCAAGAATACGTTCACTTTCAGAAACCAGATTCCTCCACTGGAATGAGACATTCTCAAGACAAAACATCTGGGAGTTTAAAAATGGAAGCATGTATCCAATTGTTCATCCCACAAAGAGCTTTGGTCTCTCTTTGAGCAACATACAAAACATTTGCTAGACCAATTTTTGAATACAGCTCATCTGTCTGGAACCCGCACTGCATATCGGACATAAATACAATTGAGAGAGTCCAGAGATATTTTACGGGAAGGGTCCTCCATTCCTCTAACTGCAATAAAATACCTTATGCCACCAGACTCAAAATTTTGGGCTTAGACAACTTAGAACTATGCCAATTTCAGTCTGACCTAAGTGTAGTACATAAAATCATCTGCTACAATGTCCTACCTGTCAATGACTACTTCAGCTTCAACCACAACAATACAAGAGCAGACAACAGATACAAACTCATGGTAAACCGATCCAAATTAGACTGCAGAAAATAGGACTTCAGCAACAGAGTGGTCAATGCCTGGAATGCACTACCTGACTCTGTGGTTTCTTCCGCAAATCCCTAAAACTTTAACCTTAAACTGTCTACTGTTGCCCTCACCCCATTCCTAAGAGGTCTGTACGGGGCGTGCATAAGTGCACCAGCGTGCCTACCGTCCCTGTCCTAATATTCCTTTTTACTTACTCTTTTCATATATTCAAATTATGTTTATACTTTTACCTGTTATCTTATATATGCTTGACAAATAAACTTATGATGATGGACATGTGCTGCACTGATGTGCCATGGTGTTCTGCCCCAGCTACGGGCCCCAAAGACGCAGCACACACGAAGTCTGTACAAACCACAGCCACTCAGTCTTGGATGGGTTGAGCCTGAGCCTGTTTCTCCCCATATAAAGGCGGAGGCTGACAATAGGCTTCAATCCATCTACATTTGTCTTATTCTAAGCTTTCATTGCTCACCTGATGTTTACTTCAGAGATTCTCCTGCACTGGTTGAACGAACTGGCCAGCAAGCAAATCCCATTGGATGAAAACGCATTATCTCTGATGCTGCAAAAAAATGGGAGAAGAAGACAGAAGTAACAACGTGTTGGCTGGGTTTGCAAACGTGCTTGGTCCACCACCATGATAGTTGATGAATTAACCTATTTCTCTTGGTCTACCCAATCTATTGAACTAAGTGGTCTGAGTTTCCATAATAGACTAAGCCAGGGATCTCCAAACTTTAAGACTTGTGGACTTGTCAACTTTAAGAGTTGTGGACTTCAACTCCAAGAATTCACCAGGCAGCATGGCTGGCGAGGGAATTCTGGGAGTCAAACTCCACAGAGTTGCCAAGTTTGAAGACCCCTGCACTAAGCCATAGAAAATTAAGTTTACCCTCTTGTGCTAATGAAGATAGTAGAGCTTTAACTTGTTCAATATGTGGTACAGTTGCATCAGTGTTGTATCTAGAAGCTTTATACAAAATATGAGACTGTAGCTTGTTTGGACTGAGGGATTTAGAATTTTGAGAAAATATGGACGAGCCTATAAAATGTCTGCTAGGGGAGTTTATCCATTGACAAAATGGCTGCCACAAGGACCACAGCCAAGTAGAAAGGACCAATTTATCTGGATGCCTCCTGCCACAGTTCTCCTCCTTTCCTCCACCCAAGTTTCATTTTTTTCTGGGCAGACAGATAAAGGTAAAGGTTCCCCTCACACATATGTGCTAGTTGTTCCTGACTCTAGGGGGCGGTGCTCATCTCCGTTTCAAAGCCGAAGAGCCAGCGCTGTCCGAAGACGTCTCCGTGGTCATGTGGTCAGCATAACTCAATGCCAAAGGCGCACAGAACACTGTGACCTTCCCACCAAAGGTGGTCCCTATTTTTCTACTTGCATTCTTTTACGTGCTTTTGAACTGCTAGGTTGGCAGAAGCTGGGACAAGTAACAGGAGCTCAACCCATTACGCGGCCCTAGAGATTCAAACCACTGAACTGCCGACCTTTCGATCGACAAGCTCAGCATCTAAGCCACTGAGCCACCGTGTCCCCTATGGGCAGATAGATACACTTCTACAAAAAGCAGTGTAGTTCAGTTACCCGCCATCTTTGTTTTCCTAAGAATGCAGTGGAACCCGGAATTCTTCTTGAAATTACAAGGGGTAAGGAAATAGGTAGAGGTAGTCGAGTTATAACTACATTGAGCCCCAAATTTCTGTTGTTAAAAGAGACAGTTGTAAAGTTGAATTTGCCCCATTTTATGACCTTTCTTAGGACAGTTGTTAAGTGAAGCACTGCAGCTGTTAACTTAGTAACGTGGTTGTTAAGGGAATTTCACTTCCCCATTGACTTTGTCAGAAGGTCACAAAAGGTGATCACAGGAGCTACATGCCCGTTGCCACGTGTCTGAATTTTGATCCCATGACCATGGGGATACTGCAAAGGTTGAAAAGGTTGAAAAGTGTGAAAAACGGTCATAAAATCCCTCTTTCAGTGCCATTGTAACTTCGAACATTCACTAAATGAACTGTTGTAAGTGAAGAACTACCTATACCTTATTTTAGTTTCACAAATAAAATAATATAATATATAAAATAAATAAATAAATAAAAATAATAATAATAAAAAATAATAATAAAAGAAATAAAATAAAAATAAAAAATAAAATACAATAAAATAATAAAATAATAAAAAATAAATTAAAAAGTGAAGAGTGTGTGGAATATGGTTTTTTTTTTAAATGGGAATTGGCAACTCTGTGCACCTACATTGGATTTCTCAGGGAAAAATCTCTCTGGACTCACCTTAAGAATCTTAAGCTGCTGAGACCGGACAGACACAACACCATCTGCTTAACATCTTGATCATTTAGTGAATTTCCAGAGAAGCTAGACAGGGGGAATGGAAAGTTTGAGATGCATCAGAAGTATAAAGTCTACCATGACTACTGCATTTATGGAGGTGAAATACTTTTGAAGGTCCAAAGAGCTGTTGAAATGGCCTCCATCAACATCAGGCTTTTGTGGTGATTTTGAGGAACATCACATCAATACTTCCATCCATGACTTCGTCAAACTCAGCACAGATCCAGTAGATGTGGCCCAGTGAGCTAAGCTTTTTTTCAAACTGAATTGCTCCATAGAGAAAAGATTTAGAGGCAGCAATGGTTAATCTTTCCTGCTTAAGCGTCAAGCTTGAAAAAATATTGAAACTAGGCAGAACAAATGCTCCTACTAAATGCCATCATCAAGATTAAAATTTCAGGGAAGCTAGCTTGGACCAAATCCATCTCATGAGCCATTGAATCCTTGCTCCATTTTCTATCAAATGCCAAGTGGAAAATATTAATCAAGAAAACTTGTGTTCTGCTTCTGAGTTACATTTTATAACCATTCTGCCTTCACAGAGTACAATATCCAACATTGTTCATAATGTTGACTAAAGACATTTCTAGCAACAAGAGTAAAATAATAAACCATTCAAGCAATTGTAGATAGAAACACACACACACATACATGCATAAGGTGGTCCAACAGAATCAGGTACACATAGTCCTCAAGTTACGCCCACAATTGAGCACCAAATTTATGTTGTTAAGTGAGAGACATTTGTTAAGTGAGTTTTGCTCCATTTTACGACCTTTCTAGCCAAAGTTATTAAGTGAATCACTGCATTTGTTAAGTTAATAGCATGGTTGTTAAGTGAATCGGGCTTCCCCACTGAAGGTTGCAAAAGGAGATCACATGACCCCGTGTCACTGCAACCCAGGGGTGAAATGTAAAATTTGTTACTACCGGTTCTGTGGGCGTGGCTTGGTGGGGGAGGGGGTAATGTAACTGGGTAGGCGTGGCCAACTTTTTTTTTTTTTAACTTTTCAAAGCATTTTTTCTAATGCTTTGAAAAGCCTCTGCCGATCAGGTAACTCACCTGGGATCGTCAGAGAGGCTTTTTAAAAAATTCCTCTCTGAAGATCGGCCACTCAGCTGGGATCGTCAGAGACTTTTCAAAGCATTTTTTTTACCACCAGCCAAGAGGTTGTAGAAAAAATGCTTTTAAAAGTAAAAAAAAAAAGCCTCTGATGATTGTGCGGCTCAGCTGGGCATGGGGGGGGGGGGCAGGGATTTTTGCTAATGGTTCTCCGAACCACCCGCCGCCATCGGTACCGGATCGGGCGATTTGGTCTGAACTGGGAGCATTTCACCCCTGCTGCAACCGCCATAAATGTGAGTCATTTGCCAAGTGTCTGAATTTTGATCAAGTGACCATGGGGATGCCGCAATGGTCACGTTTTTCAGTGCCATTGTTAACTTGGGACAATCACTCCATGAACTGCTGTAAATCGAGGACTACCAGTAAAGTGTTAAATTGGAATTATTACTGGAGTGGTTTCAAAGCTTGTATGTAACAATTCAGAAATTTTTGTCAGCTAAATAACATTGGATAAGGTTGTCAAAAGAAATGAACTGCTGTAAAAGTAACCATACAGAGCGATCATCTCAACATGGATTCTACAGGCAATGTAATAATATTTAGAATCATTTAGCAAGGTTAGATTTTTATCTGACTTTAGATATTAAAGACGAAATAAATCTGAATGTCCTGAGAAATTAGGTATTAACGGGTCCATGTATGGTGTGAAGGTGTTCATCAACTTCCAATCACAATGGGGACCAGAATTTCTGTTGCTTAGCAAATTTGCTTATTAAGTGAATTTCTCCTGATTTTATGACCTTTTTCCCATGGTTGTTAACTGAATCACTCCAGGTGCTAAGTGAATCACACAATATTTAAGCAAATCTGGGTTCCCCCATTGACTCTGCTTGCTGGAAGTTGGATGGGAAGATCAGAAATGGTGCTCATTGCCAAGCACCCTGATTTTGACCCCATGATCCTGGAGATGCTACAACAGTCGTAAATGCAAGGACTAGTCCAGCAGGTTCTGACAGGTTCTGGAGAACCGGTAGCGGAAATTTTGAGTAGTTCGGAGAACTGGCAAATACCACCTCTGGCTGGCCCCAGAGTGGGATGGGAATGGAGATTTTGCAATATACTCCCCCCAGGAGTGGGGAGGGAATGGGGATTTTGCAGTATCCTTCCCCTGGAGTGGGGTGGGAATGGAGATTTTGCAGTATCCTTCCCCTGCCACTCCCACCAAGCCACGCACACAGAACCGGTAGCAAAAAAATTTGAATTCCAATACTGGACTAGTCATGTCAATTTTTTTTCAGTGCTGTTGTAACTTCCAAAAGTCATTCAATGAATAGTTATAGGTCAAGGACTACTAGTATATAGTAAGTCTAGTATGAGAAAAAAAATCAGCTACAGTATGATTTTTTTTGCAGGGCCCATTTTGCACTAAGAAACTCAGCCTTCATTTGCAGCTGTTGGTAACACATTAAAATGTGCAAATAGCCTCCCTGTCCTGCACTTCGGAATTTCTATTTGCTCCAATTCTGTAGTGATGCTGGAACTAATAGGCCGCCTGCTGAGTTAAAATTCCTCTTGGCAGAATAATCTGTATTTCTTGTTCATCTTTATCTCAAGTTGCCTGCCTCAGCATAAAAAACAACTCTTATCACAGCCTTCTCTGAAATCTGCATAAACCATCTTCAAAAAAAAAAAAAAAAAAACCCGAAGATTTGGGCAGGTTTTAGCTATGAAGAGGGTAGAAGAAGTTTTACATTCTCAGTCTTTCAAGGAGGGTTGAAACAAGTTCTTCCAACTTTAATGGGAGTTTTGAAACAGATATTCATCGCCATGTGGCCATTTGGAGCTCCAGTAAGGTCGGAGTTATTTTCAACCCAGAACAGAGCCTTCCAGGTGGAAACAGCTTTATAGATTTGTGCCTGATTTTTGCCTGAAAATAATTGAAAATGGAGCGCGTAAAACTTTTCAGGTTCAAAACATTCTGTGCAACAGACTGTTTACATTTGCACCGTTATTGTTCCTTTGGAGAAAGGTTTATTTTCAAAACGACACAAGATTTGGTTTCACGCATTACGACTTTAGACTCCTCAACTCAATTCTTTTAGGGACCATTCAAAGTTGCAACAGAAATGAAAAAAGTGTCTTATCACCAATTTTCACACTCACGACCGTTGCAAAATCCCCATGTTGACCTAATGAAAATTTTCGACGTCTGATAACTGATTCATATTTATGACGATTGCAGTCATGGGGTCAGGTGATCCCATTTTGCGACCTTCTGACAAGCAAAGTCAATGGGGGAGCTAGATTCACTTAACAACTAGGTTACTAACTTAACAACTGCAATGATTCACTTAACAACAGTGGGAAGAAAAGTCTTAAAATGTGAGCAAAATTCACTTAGCAACTGTCTTGCTTAGTAAAAGAAATGTTGGGCTCAATTGGTCATAATTAGAGGATTACCTGTATTTTGTTCTTGCAAACTCAGTTCCATTCTGGTTTAAATGTTAGGTAAAGATGTGCACACATCCGTCACAATACTTACTTGATTTCTGCCAATCCAGAACATTTGGTGAGAATCTTAAAGAGGCGAATCATGTCCAGCTGGATTGTGCAATTTTCCAGGCTGAAAGAGAAAATCATGTTCTGTATTGCAAAGATTTAAATCCTGAATAGGTTGACACCCCCCTTCTGATCTTTCCCCCTAATGCTTTTTCGCCCTTCCTACAGATTCTATAACAATAAAAAAGATAAAGGTTCCCCTCGCACATATGTGCTAGTCGTTCCTGACTCTAGGGGACGGTGCTCATCTCCGTTTCAAAGCCGAAGCGTTGTCCGAAGACGTCTCTGTGGTCATGTGGCCGGCATGACTCAACGCCAAAGGCACACAGAACACTGTTACCTTCCCACCAAAGGTGGTCCCTGTTTTTCTACTTGCACTTTTTACATGCTTTCGAACTGCTAGGTTGGCCGAAGCTGAGACAGGTAACGGGAGCTCACCCTGTTACGCAGAACTAGGGATTCAAACCACTGAACTGCTGACCTTTCAATTGACAAGCTCAGGGTCTTAGCCACTGAGCCACCATGTTCCATATCTATAACAATACGCTAACCCAAAATGAGGAAAAATTATTAATTTTTCTTTTTCTTTCTTTCTCTTTCTTTCTTTCTTTCTTTCTTTCTTTCTTTCTTTTTGCAACTCTTTGAACTCTTTTCTTTGAACTCTCTAGGAGTCTCTGGAGGCTGGGGACAGCAAAAAAAGTCACTTCCTGTCCTGCTGGAAGTTGGGAAATGGGCCCTTTCAGGCCTCTGGAGGGCCTCCAAGGGAGTTGGAAAGGCTGTTTTCGCCCTCCCCAGATGCATAGAGAGGTTCTAGGGCCAGGTAAGAAAGAAAAACTGGCCTTCCCCAGTTGTGCCATAGATTTGCCATCATGGCCATAGAGAATGGCAGATGGAGCACCACTCCTTTGGAGCTATGAGCCACCCAAAAGATGAAAATACAACTTACTAAAAGCAACGGCAGCTCATCTGCTTCCTGACATGCTCATTGGCCGGGCTATACCTTCAGAGGGAAAAAAAAACAAACTAGGTTATTTGAATCAAGAATTTGGTTGGGTTCTGTATTCTCCCAGTGCAAAAGTGTTTATCAAGATGGTGCTAACATATCTGGCTGTTTAATTTCTGAAATGAAAAGCTCCTGCCCATCTTGTCTAGCACTGATGATGTTACCTAGCTTGAGTCATGAAACTTCTGCAAGAAAACAACGAAGCTCAGAGAGCATCAAGGGCCCCTCATTTCAACCCTGAACTACACAACTCTTCTCCTTTATTGGTACCTTCTGATCTTGTGTTACCCAGTCTTTTGAGTTAGATATGCTAGGTATTGAACTGATAAACCTCTGCAGGCAAAACATTTGGATTTTCAGTGTTGAGCGATGCTGCAAATGGTTGGCCAAGAAGCATCTTTATACCAAGATCAGAAGAAAATCTGACAGCATCTTTTTCAACTAACATGGTTTATTTATTGTGAGTGCCAGGTCCCCAAAACTGATGTCTTTTAACAAAATGTATTAGTCAGAAAAGGTGTCACTAGATTCTGTCTGATTTTAGGCTACCATGGACCAGAAGAGCTCTCCTCCTATAACAGTGCTGGCAAACCTTTTCGGCACTGAGAGCCCAAACCAGAATGCGTATGCATGTGTGTGCATGTGTGTGCGCCAGAGCACTGGAAACTGCAAGGCCAGCTGGACGGCGCATGTTTTTTGGCTAGCCTGTTTTTTTGCTGTTTCTTGGGCTATTTTCAGGCTGTTTTCTGGCCTGAAAACAGCTGGAAAACAGCCACTCTTTTTTGTGCGTGTGTTTTTTTGGGGGCTGTTTTTTGGGCCATTTTCAGGCCATTTTTCGGGCTGTTTTCAGACCGTTTTCCGGTGCTCCTGTGCCTGCAAAGACCAACTGGCTGGAAACCAGAAGAGCAGCTGGCGATGGTGCGCGTGCCCACAGAGAGAGGTCTGCGTGCCACCACGCGTGCCATGGGTTCGCCATCACGGTCCTATAGTATTCAACAATGGGGGATATATTTCTCTTGGAATCCTTGTATATTGGTATATTGTTTCTAGCAAGTGAAACAGAGGTGAAATGGAACAATTTTCAGGAACTTGAAACCAATTCCTTCCCGGGAAAAAAAAAATCCACAGTGGAGATCCATTTATTTTTAAGTTTTATGTAGCTGCTGAGCGAACTATATTAGTACTTCCAAGAGAGACCAAAAATGAGTTTTAAAAAAGTTATAGTTACCCCTTGAGGTCCAACCACAATGAAGCCCAAAATTAATGTTGCTAAGTGAAACATTTGTTAAGAGATTTTTACCCCATCTTACGACCGTTCTTACCATGGTTGTTAAGTGAATCACTACAGTTGCTAAGTTAGTAGCTTAGTTGTTAAGTGAATCTGGCTCCCCTCCCATTGACTTTGCTTGATGGAAAGTCGCAAAAGGGGATCACGTGACACCGGGACTCTGCGACCGTCATAAATAGGACTCAGTTGCCAAGCATCTGATTTTTTGATCACATGACCATGGGGATGCTGCAGCAGTCGTAAGTGTGAAAAACGGTCACAAGTCACTTTTTTCAGGGCTGTGGTAACTATGAATGGTCATTAAATGTAAATGTTGTAAACTGAGGACTACCAGTACTTAAAAAAAAAAAAACCACCCCTTGGTGCTGATAGAAATGCAGAGGATTTTTAAACATGGGTGGGGAAAAAGTCGTTCCTCAGTCACACAGTGTAGAAAGTAGTACAGTTACATGGTTTTCCCAGTTGCAATGTATGGTTGTGAAAGTTGGACCGTAAGGAAGGCTGAGCGCCAAAGAATGGAGGCCTTTGAACTCTGGTGCTGGAGAAGACTCCTGAGAGTCCCTTGGACTGCAAGGCCATCCAACCGGTCAGTCCTAGAGGAGATCAACCCTGACTGCTCTTTAGAAGGCCAGATCCTGAAGAGGAAACTCAAATGCTTTGGTCACCTAATGAGAAGGAAGGAATCACTGGAGAAGAGCCTAATGCTGGGAACGATTGAAGGCAAAAGAAGAAGGAAACGGCAGAGAACGAGGTGGCTGAATGGAGTCACTGAAGCAGTCGGCGTGAGCTTAAATAGACTCCAGAGGATCAGGGGTGAAATGCTCCCGGTTCGGATCGGATCCGGTAGTGATGGTGGCGGGTGGTTCGGAGAATCAGTAGCAAAAATCCCTGCGCCCCCCACCCCCATGCCCGGCTGAGCCACGCGATCATCAGAGGCTGTTTTTTTTACTTTTAAAACCATTTTTTCTACAATCTCTTCAGCCGAAAAAATGCTTTTAAAAGTAAAAAAAAAAGCCTCTGATGATCGCGCAACTCAGCTGGGATCATCAGAGGCTTTTAAAACCATTTTTTCTACAGCCTCTTCGGCCGAAGAGGCTGTAAAGAAAAATGCCTTTAAAAGCCTCTGGCGATCCCAGCTGAGTTGCTTGATCGTCAGAGGCTTCTAAAAGCATTTTTTTCTGCAACCTCTTCGGCAGAAGAGATTGTAGAAAAAATGCTTTTAAAAGTAAAAAAAAAAAGTTGGCCACGCCCACCCAGTCACATTACCCCCACACACACCAAGCCACGCCCACAGAACCAGTAGTAACAAATTTTAGATTTCACCCCTGCAGAGGATGATAGAGGACAGGAAAGCCTGGAGGAACGTTGTCCATGGAGTCGTGATGGGTCAGACACGACTTGGCAACAACGACACAGTTCCTAGTGAAAGTCCACTGATTTTTAATTGAAATACTGGATCAGAAATGGGCAAATTTTGAAACTGGTCCCTAAAACCAGAATGCAAAATTGAACCCACATCCCTGCCTGTTAATCCATAATCAAGATAATTCCTAACTGAAATGAAAGATGCATCAAAATGAAGACAATCCTCACCTGATTTGTTCTCCAAAGCTTAAGCGACATCTCTGGATGCTTCCCAAACTATAAGAGAAAGCAGAAATGCTATGAGTAAAGTGATTCCTAAATGAATGTAGAATCCCAGCTTCTCAAGTGAGATGAATTTGACTTCTCAACCAGGATTTTTCAATTGTGCAGCAACTTGATGTGATACCTCCATTCTGAGCCCATCTCCATAGATATTTGGAATTTAAGGTAGTTGTTGTCTTTGCTACGGACAAGCCTTGAAAAAAGAATCCAACTCCAGCAAATTAATTTGCATAAATATCATTCCTGCTCTTTTTGGCCAGTCTATTGTAAAATGCAGGAAGAGCTACTGATAAGGAGAAATATTGCTGAAATATTGCTATGGTGCTGTGTTTCTCTGACAATGTTAAAAATGTATGGAGTTCAAGTCCCAGAATTCCCCAGTCAGAATTCTGGGAGTTGAAGTCCATAACTTCTTAACATTCCTAAGGTTGAAAAACATGGCTATAGTGGTTAAAGCAGTGGTCTGCTACCTTAAACACTCAACGAGCCATTTGGACCCGTTTCCCACAGAAAAGAAAACATCGGGAGCCACAAAACCTCGGTGGGTGTGGCCAACTCGACGTCACTCACTTTCACCAGTCACATGACCACCCCCTAGCCACGCCTACCCAGCTGGTCATTAGGGCAGAGAACCGGTTGTTAAAAAACAATGGGAACCACAAAACCCTTTTGACATCTCTCTCTCTCCCCTCCCTCCCTTCCTCCCCCCTCTCTCTGTATCTCTCTATGTCTCTCTCTCTCTCTCTGTATCTCTCTATGTCTCTCTCTCTCTCTCTCTGTATCTCTCTGTCTCTGCCCTGGCCGCTTTCCATCCCCCGCCATCCCCCTTACCTTCTCAGGCCAAGCGAGGAGTGACTGGGAGGGGAGGGCGAGGGGTGGGGCCAGCCAGTGGTGGGATCATCCAACAGGGAGCCATAGCAGAGGGCCCAAAGAGCCACATGCAGCTCTGGAGCCGCAGGTTGCAGACACCCGGGTTAAAGGCTCTGTAGTAGAAACTGGGAGATGAGTGAATTCTACTCCTGTGTTAAGCTCAAAAGTCAACTGAGAAAGTTAAGATCAATCTAACTCAACCCTTGGAAGAAGGCAAGGACAAAAATGGTTATCAAGAAAATTGCAAGGTCTACTCTGAGCTATTGTCTGACCTTAAGGCACACAAACAAGCAAGAAACCCTCAAACCCAAATCATCCAGTTGTATCAGAACCAGGGGTGAAATGCTCCTGGTTCGGACCGGATCGCCTGATCCGGTAGTGATGGAGATGGGTGGTTCGGAGTACCAATAGCAAAAATCCCTGCCCCCCCCACCCCATTGCCCAGCTGAGCCACGCAATCATCAGAGGCTTTTTTTTATATTTTTAAAAGCATTTTTTCTGCAACCTCTTTGGCCGAAAAAATGCTTTTAAAAGTAAAAAAAAAAAGCCTCTGATGATCGCGGGCTCAGCTGGGATCATCAGAAGCTTTTAAAAGCATTTTTTCTACAACCTCTTATAGAAAAAATGTTTTTAAAGGGAAAAAAAGCCTCTGCCGATCAGGCAAGTCAGCTGGGATCGTCAGAGGTTTAAAAAGCATTTTTTTACAACCTCTTCAGCCGAAGAAGTTGTAGAAAAAATGGTTTTAAAAGTAAAAAAAAAAAAGTTGGCAACATATCAGTCATATTACACCACCACCACCAAACCATGCCCACAGGACCAGTAGTAACAAATTTTACATTTCACCACTGATCAGAACACCACTTCCTCCAGTCCCAATCATTCAAAAGATTTGCCCCTGGAGATAAAGACTGATGCAGCCCATCACAGCTGATAGATTTCTGTTGATAAAGATGTGGACTGGACCAAAGACTGCTGACCTGTTGGATTGAGAAGGTCAATGGTGAAGAACTGGTGTGTTTTTTATTTTTTACATACCCTAAATGCACTGAAGTGATATGTTCTAAGCCGGAGAAGAATTCCAGCAAGGAAATGACACCATCCAGTGACATTTGGTTATTATCCAGACTGGAAGGAAAGAGAACAGAAATGGTCATTGCCAGGAACACAGATATGATCACAATGTATACAGAAGTAAATCTGACCACAGAGAATTCCTTTCATGGTATTCAAAGCTCTAAGCACCTTGTCCTAGTTACTTGGTATTGGTATGTGAGGGTAAAAAAAGAATAATTAATACATAAATTTAATAGGCTGATGTTTTTAATGTTGTAATGCTGCTCATTTTCAATTCTCTCTCTCTCTCTCTAACATCAGGAGCATATAAAATAATGGTTTGGAAAGTAGGGAACCTGAAAATGTGTGTGGACTTCAACTCCCAGTATTCCCCAGCCAGCATGCTGAAGTCCAGACATCTTCAAGTTCCCAACTTTTAAAGTTATTAATACAAAATAATATAAAAATAGCACTTAAGTTCCCAACTGCCTGTTCTGACCTAGGCTTCCCTAAAAAGCAGGAAGCAGAGTCTTGGTCCCGGCAAAACCCCTTTTATTTACATGACTGTGAATTCCTTTCATTCACAGTCAGCAAGGCTTGGCAAACAGTCTTTCAGAGGAATATTTATCAACGCAAACCTTATCTCGCTTGGAAAGCTGCCAGATAACTAGTTTCCAAATGCAGCGTAAGGCAAAACGTGGCACAGAGTCTCTTAGAGTCATGAACAGAACTTTCCACTCTTGAAACGACCGACCAACTGAACTGTTTCCTGCAAAAGCCCACTCCCTGTTTGCTCCTCTTTTGTTTCCTATGGGAGGAGCCAATCACCTCCAAGGTGTGGCTTTACTCCCAAGTCGACCCTGCTTTCTTAGTTGTTCTTGTCTCCTGGCAGCTCTGCGCATGCGTACATTGGGAACGGGCTCCAGCTGTTCCTCTGCCTCGCTGCTGTCTATCTCCCTCTCTGCCTCTGATGCAGAGCCCTCGTCTGAGCTTTCCCCAGCCCCCAGGACCGGCCCATGCTCCTCCCCAACCTCCTCACTGTCCAACTCTGCTGCCAGCTCTGCTGGTTACCAGCAGGCCACAACATTGCCATCAAAAAGTGGTGTCCAGACAATGTCTACAATGAGGACTAGGTCAGGATTATTTAAGATCTGTCTGAGGATACTTATTTCTACAAATATCACTAATTAAAGAGAAACTTTTACTTACATTAAAGAATTCAAATTCTTCAGATCTTGGATGGAATTCATTATCTGCAGAACTCCTGAGTCACCGAAAGAATTATTTGACAAACTGATGATAGGACAAAGAAAAGAATGCAAAGAGGAGATTACTAATCCAATGTGCCTATTTATCTTCTGTTATTGCATATTTTACTTTAGACTGTGAATTTAATTGAGGCAATACTTTAATTTTATTGATTTGGGTTCAGGACCCAGTGGAAGATTTCAAAATATTCAGATGCATCCCAATGTATCTTCTCCAAAATGGAAGCTTCTGGAAGACTAACATATTGATGCAGACATCCAAAATTTCAAAGTGCTCCCAAGCTCAGGACATTGACATTAACTGACAAGAATGAATACTCACTTTAATTCTAATATGCTGCTGCACCTTTTCAGTGCTAAGCACAAGTTCTTGAGATCTTCATCATGAAAATGATTACCTGCCAAGCTAACAAAGAAGGAAAATCACCATTTAAGTGTTGATTAAGGCAGGTAAGTCTAAATCTTCTCATGCTAGGTTCACACAACATAGCAAACCCTAAACCTGATTCAGAAAAATTTTAGATACTTAATGGTGTTCCTCAGAACCAGGTAAACATACAATGGTCTTTTTCTTTCAAGCATTTAGAGAACCAAACTAAGTAGATATTAACAAAGTGATTGTACCATATTTTCTTTGATGTCACCTCCATCTGTTGACTTTTGTTTAACTGGACATCATGAAAATTGTAATTCCTGTAGCAAAGGCAAATGGCAAAATATTATACAATGGGTACAAGGAACCAGCACCAGAAGTCCAGCAATGTGATTGGTTAAATGTGGCTAGAAATCTACTAGAGGTAGAAGACAGAGAGGTAGAGGACTTGAAGGTCAACAGGAAGACCCACTACCAAAGCAATGGTGAGATCAAAGGAGCCTGACCAAGAAAGAAACTTGAGGAAACATCTCAGATAAGCCATTCCATAGTTCACATGAAGATAAATTGAGGGACAGGAAAACACTTTGAGACTTGCAAAATTCTGTCAATATAGGTTTTCCATAAAAATAGTCCTTATCTACATGTCATTGATTTCCTAGTCTGGTGTCAGGCATGAAGACTCAGGACCACACATTAAGTTCCAGTTAAGATGAATTACAAATCACATTTTTGCCTACTCTAGTCAGTTAAGGGTCAGCACTGAATTGGTGCTAGATAAGAGTCAATGAAATTCAAAAGGAGTTAGGCCATTTCTAGCAACATAATGACTCCAGGCCAATGACTTGTTTGACTCTCTGCCTGCTCTTCTCCAACATCTGGTCTTCCTTGAAGGTCTGACACATACCTTGACTGAGTAGCATCAGGTCCTCCTTTATTCACAAAGGTCAAAACTGCAATATGTTGATCAACACTAGAGAGATGAGAAAGAGTTCTGCAAAACCATGCCTTGTTGGTAAAGTTGACCAAAGTTCTACAGGAAATAGCCTAAGAAATTATGCATGAACACATGGTTCCATGCACCTCCATTTCTCGTGGTGAGAAGTTCCAGAAACCCAGTGTCCATCCAGATTTTATTCCCTTTGAAGCAGGTTATTCTATACAGGTAGTCCTCTACTTACAACCATTTGTTTAATGACCATTCAAAGTTATAATGGCACTCAAACTAATGAATGAAAACTAGACCTTGAACTTACGACCATCATAGCATCTTTACTGTCATGTGGTCAAAATTTGAGTGTATGGCAACTGATAGTTGCATTGTCCTGGGATCATGTGATCACTATTTGTGATCTTTTCAGCGAGCTTCCAACGGGCAGTCAATGGGAGAAGCTGGATTTAATGACTGCATGATTCACTTAACTTGATTTGCTTAATGGCTGCATGATTCACTTAACAACCATGGCAAAAAAGTGGAAAAATTTTGTGCGATTCATTTAACAGCCATCTTGTTTAACAATGGAAATTGATCCAATCTTGGTCGTAAGTCAAGGACTACCTGCATTTGTTTTAGAAATAAACTGATTCTGCATAAGTGCAAACATACAACTCAAAACTTTTCCAGAGAACGTTCAACCAATCAAAAGTGGGCACATACAATAAAGCTAAAATGCTTCTGCTGCTCAACTTTCAGCCCAAAATGATAACAGCAGCCATTTCTCTTAAAAATTGAATTGTCCTTTTCTTAATTAGCCCCAGGCATACCTGGCTTCCAGCTTCGCAACATTTGGGCAAAGATTCACTGAGTCCAGGAGATAAAATATGCTCTTAAGTGAAAGCTGGTTGTTGCTTAAACTGCAGAAAACCAAAACAAGAAAGAGAGATCGTTAAAAAACAGCTATAACAATAAATGCCACATTTATATTAACTGATGGCTTAGTGCAGGGGTATCCAACAGGGGTGAAATGCTCCCGGTTTGGACCGGATCGCCCAATCCGGTAGCAATGGCGGTGGGTGATTCGGAGAACTGGTAGCAAAAATCCCTGTGCCACCCCCCCCCACCATGCCCAGCTGGGCCACACAATCATCAGAGGCTTTTTTTTTTAACTTTTAAAAGCATTTTTTCTACAACCTCTTCCGACGAAAAAATGCTTTTAAAAGTTAAAAAAAAAAGCCTCTGATGATCGTGCGGCTCAGCTGGGATCGTCAGAGGCTTTTCAAAGCATTTTTTTCTGCAACCTCTTGGCCGAAGAGGTGGTAAAAAAATGCTTTGAAAAGTCTCTGACGATCCCAGCTGAGTTGCCTGATCAGCAGAGGCTTTTCAAAGCATTAGAAAAAATGCTTTTAAAAGTAAAAAAAAAAGCCTCTGATGATCATGCGGCTCAGCTGGGATCGTCAGAGGCTTTTCAAAACATTTTTTTCTGCAACCTCTTGACCGAAGAGGTGGTTAAAAAAATGCTTTGAGAAGTCTCTGACGATCCCAGCTGAGTTGCCTGATTGGCAGAGAGGTATTTTTTAAAAAACCTCTCTGACGATCCCAGCTGAGTTGCCTGATCAGCAGAGAGGCATTTTTTAAAAAGCCTCTCTGACGATCCCAGCTGAGTTGCCTGATCGGCAGAGACTTTTCAAAGCATTAGAAAAAATGCTTTGAAAAGTTAAAAAAAAAAAAGTTGGCCACGCTCACCTAGTCACATTACCCACCACCACCACCAAGCCACACCCACAGAACCGGTAGTAGCAAGTTTTACATTTCACCCCTGGTATCCAACCTTGGCAACTTTAAGACATGTGGATTTCAACTCCCAGCATGGCTGGCTGGGAAATTCTGGGGAAATGAGCAATTTTTATTTCAAGTCAGATAAACAACTGCAATTTATGGGGTTGTGTGTTTCTGAGTTTGTTGTTGCTAGGGGAGGGTGAGGAATCTGTCCCACCTTGGCAGCTATGTCCACTAGCCCATGCAACTTTCTGGATAATGTTTTTCAAGGGCGGAGAAAGAATCACTGACTCAAGGCCCCCCAGCTGTGTCTCTAAACTCATGGCTTGCAAAATTCAGTTTGAATGTACTTTAGATCGCAAAAAAGTCAATTGGAATTACAGGTGGTCCTTGACTTACAATCACAATTGGAACCAGATTTTCCATTGCTAAGCATGACGGTTGTTAAGTGAGTCACACCCAATTCTATGTCTTTTCCCACAGTTGTTAAGTGGATCACTGTTGTTAAGTGAGTTGTGTTGTTGTTAAGCAAATCTGGCTTCTCTCATTAACTTTGCTTGTCAGAAGCCATCTGGAAGATCACAAATGGTGATCAGGTGAATGTGGGACACTATAACCATTGTAAATTCATGTTGGTTGCCAAGCAACCAAATTTTGATCATGTCACCATAAGGATGCTGTGATGGTCATAAGCATGAGGACTTGTCATAAGTCACTTTTTTCAGTGATGTTGCAACGCTAAGAAGTTGCTAAACAAATAGTTGTAAGCAGTAGTGAAATCCAATTTTTTTTACTATCAGTTCTGTGGGCGTGGCTTGGTAGGCATGGCTTGGTGGGCATGGCAGGGGAAGGATACTGCAAAATCTCCATTCCCACCCCACTCTGGGACCAGCCAGAGGTGGTATTTGCCAGTTCTCCAAACTACTCAAAATTTCCACTATTGGTTCTCCAGAACCTGTCAGAACCTGCTGGATTTCACCCCTGGTTGTAAGTCAAGGACCACCACACAGTTCACTTCACAGTGCTTTATAGCCCTCTCTAAATAGTTTAAGAGTCAACCTATTGCCCCCAACAATCTGGGTCCTCATTTTACCGACCTCAGAAAGTTGGAAGTCTGAGTCAACCTTGAGCAGGTGAGAATTGAACTATCGAACTGCCAGCAGTCGGTAGTCAGCAGAATTAGCCTGCAATACTGCATTCTAACCACTGCGCCACCACAGCTCTTGCAATCAAATGCATTTTCATATTAAATGAAAAAGGCAAATTTTCAGAAAGACTTACTTCAGAGAACCAGAAATGCACATCTGGGACACCACAGTCATGAGTTTTCTGCATCCTTCATCACCAAGCTGGTTATCTGATAAACTGACACGTTTCTTCAGGTTAGTAATAGATTGAAACGCGTCTTTCTGTTTACAGATACTGTAGAACCTCTTGTCATGACCATAATTCGTTCCATAACTTTGGTCACAAACCAATTTGGTCATGACCTGAATCTAATTTTGGAAATTTGGCGCTTACAAAAAAAAAATGATGCAGAAGGGGACATCGGCCACGAAAAAAAAATTGTGAATTTTTTGGTCGGAACCCAATTTGGTCATGGTCAGAAGCGTTCGTGACCAGAGGTTCTACTGTATTTTGGAAAGAATGACTACCTACTTGATTTCAGACAGGTGGGAACAGTTCTGGAGAATGTCTACCAATTCCTCTGCCCTTTGTGAATCTAACTGGCAATCTTGCAATCTAGAAAGCAGCAAACATAAATATATTTTTAGTTGACTCCATTAATAAATAATAAATAACTTTATTGTCATTGTACGTGCATACACAGTATACCCATACAACGAAATTCACTTAACACCCAAAGACCAGGTCCAACACACATAACAATCCCCAAACAGATTCCTACCCACCACAACATTCATCATTTTTATCCCTGTTTGTGGCACATGAAGTTCTTGCAAACTCAGTAACATTATTCCTTATGCCCTGTTATTGTTGCCGATGTGGAAAGACACGGACTCAAGCTGACTAACACAACAGTTAAACCATGGCTTAACAAAATATCAGAGTTGGAAGGGACCTTGGAGGACTTCTAGTCCAATCCTCTGTTCAAGCAGGAAAACCTATACCATTCCAGACAAATGGTTGTCCAATCTCTTTTTAAAAATCTCCAATGTTGGAGCACCCACAAATTCTGAAGGCCAGCTGTTCCACTGGTTAATTGTTCTCACCATTAGGAAATTTCTCTTTAGTTTTAGGTTGCTTGTCTCCTTGATTAGTTTCCGTCCATTGTTTCTTGTCTTGCCTTCTAGTACCTTGAAAAATAGGTTGACTCCCTCTTCTTTAGGGCAGCCCCTCAAATATTGAAATATTGCTACCATCATTTGTTTAGGATAGTATGGGTGGGAGGAGAGAGAGAGGGTTAGACTAGAAAACCTCCATTGTCCCATATCCAGGCCTATGATTCTGGATGATCAGCAGCAAGGGGGGATGGACTCAGTTACAGCAACAATGGAGTTGGTACCTAAAGTACCAAGTTAGGGACTAATCAAGATGGAGAAAATCTATTGATATGAACACTAGGAGTGGAGAAAAACAACAACATAATCAACCAACCAACCAATCAATCAATCAATCAAAAGAAATATTCCAATATATTTCATATATCCAATATAAATAAATATTCCAATATATTTCATATATCCAATATAAATAAATATTCCAATATATTTCTCTTTCACAGGAATTTCAGAATAGGGCTATAGTTTATAGGACTATATATGTTTCAAGAATAATCCAGAAATGTATTTTGAATCTTGAACTAGTACTTTACTATTGCTCTTCAAGTTTTTACAGGAATCTTGTTAAGATATTTAATTTAATAGAGCAGTGAAGGGTTGTGCAGGTAGTCCTTGACCTACAACAGTTCATTTAGTGACGGTTTGATGTTACAACAGCACTGAAAAAAGTGACTTATGACCATTTTTCACACGTATGACCTTCACAGCATTCCCATGCTCATGTGATCAAAATTCAGACGTTTGGCAACCAGTTCATACTTATGACCGTTGCTATGTCCCAAGGTCAGGTGATTTTGACAAGCAAAATCAATGGGGAAGCCAGATTCACTTAACAACCGTGTTACTAACTTATCCACTGCGGTGATTCACTTTACACCTGTGGCAAAAAAGGTGGTAAAATGGGGGCAAAACGCACTGAATAAAATGTCTCACTTAACAACAGACATTTGTTGGGATCAATTGTGGTCATAAGTCTAGGACTACCTGTACAATGAGTAAGAACACACAGTTATTACAGCTAATTGTTTGAAGAGAGCTGGCCACTTTGTGAGGTAATCTAAACTGCGATTGATTACTATGAGTGTAAAAGGGGACTTTGCTTGTTTCCCGCCTTTTTTCTTCTGTATGTGCTGTGTGAGAATTTACCTCAGGATGTTCCTGCTATGCTGATTTACCTGATGATGCTCCTGTTTGCCCCACTACCTAGTTTGCCATACAGTAGTGGCCAAAATTGTGGAAACTTTTTGGGAAAAGTGTATTTTTGAGGTTTGATGGCTAATAGTACCACTTTTTTTTGGAGTTTCAAGCTAATCTTATTCCACTTCTGGAACAGCCTGGGAATAGCCCAGACCTTAACCCAATTGAAAATCTATGGAACCGACTAAAGAAACTTGTTAGTCAGAAGTGATCCAGCAATAAAACTCAGTTAATAGAAGCCATCATTCGATCTTGGTTTCACATTATAAGGGCTGCAGAACTAAAAGACTTGGTTCATTCCTTGGGCAGATGTTGTAACATCTTAATTCATGCTAAAGGTTACCCCCAACTAAGTATTAACTGACATGGTGATATTTTTTGTATATCTCATTTTTTCTACCTATGGTGATAATTTTCGTATATCTCATTTTTTCTACGTGTTTTGCTTTTCTTCTTTATACCGTAATTGCTGTTCTAATAGCAAATCCTTCATAAAAGTTATTGCATCACATTCTTGATTAAATTATCTTTCTAATGATATATAATTTTATAGTACTACTCCAAAAAAAGTGGTGTTATTAGCTAGTTTTAGAAAATACACTTTTCCCAAAGGTTTCCACAATTTTGGCCACTACTGTATGTATGTTTGCAAAATACATTTATTGATATAAAACTACAAGTTTGTGTCAGCATCTCCGACTATTTGGACACTGACTGTGCAATTCCCTGACAAATCTCCCAAAATGTGGCTGTCTGACAAATTGCATTAATTCTTTAGGGGTGTTGAGTTCCTTAAAACACTGCAACTTTTGAATGGAAGCCTGAAAATTAACCAGCTCCTTTAGCAGTGCACTATTCATGCATGATCTGAAGTCACTTTTCTGAATTATTTTTCAAAGATGTTGTTGCCATGTTGTTTGGGCTCATAGTGTGATAAAATCCTAAATTAAAAATCATATGCATACATTATTGTTATAAATATGATGCATTAGAACTTTATTGCATCCCCAAATAATTTTAAGGTACAGGTCTCTCTCTTTTTCAAATGCTGGGAATATCTTCATGTAATAAAGCCCCTAGGTTTGTTTTTTAAAACAAGCAACAAATGTAAAAATACTATTTGGGTAAACTTTTTTTTTAAAAAAGTGCTACCGATAAATTCTGACATACAGAGATACTTACTGTAAAATTAAACTCCTGGGTTGGGGAGCAATTTCTTCTTCATTAATTCTGACATCTTTTAATCTGAAACCATGACATACAGTCAATATGATAGAGTTTTGGGTATTTAAAAATTAGCTATAAATTAATAATATACCGAGATTTTGGCATTACATTGAAAAATATATACTTCTTTTTATGTCATGAAAACAAAATGATGAACTCTTACTAATGTTATACTGAACACTACTTGTATGACTTCAGTCATTATCTGTCCATTTATAGGTTTTGTGTTACCTTTTTTGAAAGTACATCTCAATTTAAATAAAAATAAATTAAAATGCACATACATAGACACACGAATGCAAAAAACCATAACTAGTTCAATTGAGACTTTCAAAATAGCCCAGAAAATCACTGGGATTTAAATTAATCCTAAATCCTACCTTTTTTTCAATTTGGAAAATAAACTTCTGTCCTCTTAATACTTTTTTCCATTGTCTGTCTGCCCAATGTTGCAATTTCTGTCTTTTGGACTTCTTTAAATATAGAATAGTATAGAATAGAGTTGGAAGGGGCCTTGGAGGTCTTCTAGTCCATCCCGCTGCTCAAGCATGAGAACCTATACTAATTCAGATAAGTGACTGTCTAGTCTCTTCTTAAAAACTCCAGTGATGGAGGTTAATATAATTGACCTCAGCTAATTTTTCTTTAAAACTAATTAATTTCAGAAATTACTGTGAACCAGAATAACCAGAATAACAGAATAATAGTATTGGAAGGGACCTTGGAAGTCTTCTAGTCCAAACCCCTGCTTAGGCAGGAAACCCTACACCACTTCAGACAAATGGTTATCCAACATCTTCTTAAAAATTTCCAGTGTTGGGGCATTCACAACTTCTGCAGGCAAGTTGTTCCACTGGTTAATTGTTCCAACTGTCAGGAAATTCCTCCTTAATTCCAAATTCCTTCTCTCCTTGATTAGTTTCCATCCGTTGCTTCTTATCCTGCCCTCAGGTGTTTTGGAGAATAATTTGACCCCCTCTTCTTTGTGGCAGCCCCTCAAATATTGGAACACTGCTACCACATCACCCCTTAATTCCTTAAAAACCAGTTTCTCACCTAGGTTCCTTTGGAGAGAGGTTAGCAAATGAGATTATTAAGATGCTCTTCCTGGAAATAAGCAAAGGAAAAATAATATGTGAGTTTCATTTTGCGACCCCATCCAACAAAACAGCTTCATGGAATAGTATTAATGACAGTTATCCACAAGGCCAGCAATCTGCCATTTACTTAATAGTCAAGAGATAAAGAAGGTCTTATTTTAAGACAGGGGGGGGAAAGAATTTTGCTATGATTTTTTTTTTCCTCTTGCAATCTTTAGCAGTTGGTACCTTATTTGAAGCTTGGAAACTTTTGGATAATTTGCAGCTGCTTTGCTGAAGGCCAGGACAGTTCCTGCAGACATCTCGTTGTAGCTTAAACTGTTTAAAATATAATATACTTGCTGTTGCAAATCCATGGCAATTAAGGTTAAAATTACAATCATTTTGTGACCATCCCAGTTTTTTCTATTTTATGAATTAGACTTTTATCTTAAATACAGGCTATCATTTTGTATGGCGTCAAGCCACAGTTTGCTGAACTACGTTTTGAGATTGTGTTCATGCATTTCATTAAACCACAATGTGATAGTTGCTTTTGTTTTAGCTGATAGATGATCCCTGTCTTTTTTTAATAAACCATTGTTTATAAACCACAGGTTAACCACAGTTAACCTGAAACCTAAGCATAGAAACCTAACTGTAACTAAATGGCACATGGAAGTAAGATGTGAATAAGGCACAGTTCACTCTGCAAAACACCGCACAAATATTCCAGAGAACCAACTAAACAACTGCAGTTGTTAAGATGTTGGACTAAGATCAAATACAGCCTTGCCTTCTCAATTCAACATACCTCACAGCATAGTTGTGAGAAAAAATAGGAAGAGTGACAACCATGTACTGTACACTGCCTTGAACTTCTCTGCAAAGGTGGGATATAAATCTAATGAGTAAAATATAGGGATGGCCACTTATGTAAATATTCCTCAGGAAAAAAATATTTATATTGTGTGCACTATATACGTATAGTGATAAAGCTGATTGTCACAAGCCAATTTTATGACTTAAAAGGTAGTGATTTCTCAGAATGGCAAGTCAAACATGAGACATATATTAATAGATTCAGAAGAAGATATAGATATAAAATGTATTCTGTCAGAGACATGACAGTTATTTGAAGCTACTTTTGGGGCCTGGTTGGCTGGGGAATTCTGGGAGTTGAAGTCCACACTTCTTAAAGATTGAGAAACATTGTTTTATACTATACTTACTCCATTGTCTTTAACTTTTCTATGGCGGGAAATATTTCTGCCAACTTGATCAGATCCTGCTCCTTCAACCTGTTGTCCTGCAAACTGAAATATAGCAACTGATTAAAATGTTAAGATCTCTGATTCAGGGATCTTAACATAAATGCCACTGCTTTACACTTTTCCCTAAATGACAAGGTTTAAATTACTTTATTTCTTCCAGCTGGTGACAGTTTGGCAAAACTCGAACGAGATCTTCAAATCCTGGGCTTTTAAGATTTCCACCAGTTAACCTGAAAACGAAAAGTGACACTGTTGTAATGGAGTCTAAATTCCACTTTCCCATAGAACGTACGAAAAAAATTGATTCTGTAATTATGATGGACTGTAATACCATACTGCATGTTAAGTCATGGCTTGTTTTAATCATGGTTTTTGGAATTAGCCGTAGGACTTTAATACGCATGTTGCATATTATAACTTTGCCTTTTGTCTGCTGAGAACTAGGAGAAGGAGGAACTCATAAGCTGAAATTGATATTATGCTTTCATCAGAATAGAGCTGGAAGGGATCTTGGAGGTCTTCTAGTCCAGCCCCCTGCTCAAGCAGGAGATCCTATACCATGGGTGTCAAACTTGCTCTGTCACATTGCCGTCATGTGATGTTTCATGATGTTTTCCTTATTTGCAGAGTTGGAGTGGGCGTGTTGCATCTGGCCCACGGGCTGCCAGTTTGACACTCCTATCCTATAGCATTATATACTAGTACTATATATTAATGATAGATAGATAGATAGATAGATAGATAGATAGATAGATAGATAGATGATAGAGATAGATAGGTAGGTAAGTAGGTAGATAGGTAGGTAGAGATAGATAGATAGATAGATAGATAGATAGATAGATAGACATATAGATAGATGATAGATAGAGATAGATAGGTAGGTAGGTAAGTAGGTAGATAGGTAGGTAGAGATAGATAGATGATAGATAGGTAGATAGATGGTAGATAGGTAGGTAGATAGATAGATAAATAGATAGGTAGATAGGTAGATATAGATAGATAAATGATAGATAGAGATAGGTAGGTAAGTAAGTAGGTAAGTAGGTAGATAAGTAGAGATAGATAGACAGACAGACAGACAGACAGACAGACAGATAGATAGTACCATGCCTAATTTTCAGATTCGGCTTCCATAGATTATAAGAAGCACTGATTAATATTAACTTTACTTCACACAATGCACAGGTATACAGGTAGCCTTGACTTATGGCCATTTGTTTAACAACTATTCAAAGTTACAATAGCACTGAAAAAAAGAGACAACAGGTTTTCTCATTTACGACTATCACAGCATCCCTTCAGTTATGTGATCAAAAATTCATGCGCCCAGCAGTCCCCATGTATTTATTATAGTTGCAGCATCCCAGAAGCATCTGACCACCATTTGCAGCCTTCCCAGGTGCCTTCTGACAAGCAAAGACAATGGGAGAAACCAGATTGTCTTAATAAACAAATGATTCACTTAACAGCCATGACAAAAAGGTTGTAAAATCAGGCACGGCTCACTTAACAATTGCATGGCTTAGCAACAAAAGTTCCAGTACCAATTATGATCATAATTCGAGGACTATCTGCAGTTTTAGGCCACTGTAGGAGCTGTCTATGGTTCTGAATAAGGAGAGGAGACAACGTGAGTCTCCTTGTGCCTCTGGTGCACAACAGTAGATAACGTAACTTTAGAGAGATGCTTACTGAAATGTTGTCAGGTGTTTGATCTTAGGCAAGGTTTTGGAAAGGGCTCCTGCAAACTCACTTCCATATTGCCTGTTCTTGAAGCTACAAACAAAAAAAAAGCAGAAGACAGACATGATTAAGAAGCCACCAGTCTTATTCACAGAATCATAGATTTATAGGGTACACGGCCTGTGCAGTTAGTAGCCGATTCCGACAGTGAGGAGGCTGGTGTGGTGCTGCGCCAGCAGCCTGTGCAGTTGGCACTTGAGTCGGACAGCGAGGAGGCTGGAGGAGATGTGGTGCCAGAGGCCAGGATTCAGCCACGGCCTTCAGAACCTCCAGAAGCTCCCATAAGTGAAGAGGAAGAAGAGGAGGAGCCTCTTCTCGATGCACGGGCGTGCAGAGCTGCCCAAAGGCAGGAGTGGCTCCTCAGGAGGAGGTCTCCTCGAGAGTAAGGCTTGGGGCTAATTGGCCACTCCCTTAGCCTATTTAAGGAGGAACGCCGACTGAAGCAATTTGCAGGGAACAACTTCGTTCACATACCTTCCTGTCTTGTCTTGCTTATATTATCAGTTTCCTGCAAATTGCTTCTGGGCATTCTGCCATCCATAGTAAGCTTTCAGTTATTATTCTTTGAATTCTTGGCAGCTGTTAATGCAATTAATTAACAGCCGTTGTTGTAAAAGACTGGTTTATTTCATAAACTAAGGTTTGAACGGACTTTGTGTGTGCTGCGTTCTTTGGGGTTCATAGCTGGGGTAGAACATAGGGCTGGAAGGGACCTTGGAGATTTTCTAATCCAGGGGTATCATACTCAAGGCCCGGGTGCTGGATCCAGCCCATGGAGTGCTTAGATCTTGCCTGCTGGACCACCTTGGAAACAGCAAATGACCGGCCTGCAGTGTCTCTGCCAGTGAAAATGGAGCTCAGGAGTGCTGCCCTCCCAAGCTCTGTTTTCGCCTGGCAGAGGGTTGCAGGAGGCCGTTGCAGCCGAAACGGAGCTCGGGAGCCTATTTTCGCTTGAAGAGTGCTCAGGCCACAATAGGCATCCCCAACATGAGTGATGTCAAGCTGGCCACGCCCATCCAGGCCATGCCCACCCCATCACCCCAAGGTCAAACACAACCCTGGTGAGGCCCTCAATGAAATTGACACTCCTGTTCTAATCTCTCTGATACCAGGGCTCCCCAAACCTGGCAACTTTAAGACTTATGGATTTCAATTCCCAGAGTATCCCAGAAGTCTGAGAGTTGAAATCCACACATCTTAAAGTTGCTGAGGGTGAGAAAAAGTGCTTTAGAGCAAAATCCAGCTCCTTTTCAGGATCTAGTCCTTTGCATGCTGGTAGATGTCTAACATGTCGTTTCTTAATTATTTTTAAACATTCCCCAAGCTACTGTGATAACTAGTAGAGGTCCCTATAACAGGAACAATATATTACAAGAGCCTTGGTGGCGCAGCAGTGCTGTTAATTAGCACCAGCTGCCTGCAATTACTGCAAGTTCGAATTTCACCAGGCTCAAGGTTGACTCAGCCTTCCATCCTTCCAAGGTAGGTAAAATGAGGACCCGGATTGTGGGGGCAATAAGCTGACTTTGTATAAAAGAAAACACCGCTTAGGGGGCCCCGAAAGCCCTACTAAGCAGGTATATACAAAAGTATGAAGGTTATTGCTTAATGCATTGTAAGCCGCCCTGAGTCTCCAGAGAAGGGTGGCATATAAATTGAACTAATAAAATAAATAAATAAATAATATTTGCTTTTAAAGAAACACAAACCAGAAACTGGCAAATGGTACTTATGAAATCTAGGCCGTAGGTATGTATGCATGTGTGTATGTATGTACAGTATGAATGTATGTATGTATGTATGTATTTTTAAATTTATTAGCCAATCATCTTACCACAGGATAACTCTGGACGGCTGCCTTCACGAATGTAACTCATGATACAAAACTGAATTAAAATGAAAATATTTTTTTCCAGCTTTGACTAACATCTCATAATGTTTTGTGCTCTTGTTCAGAAACCCCAAATTTCATGGAAATACAGCATTTTCACATAGGATCTTGCAAGATCTCAGGATGAATATGCCCCAATCTCCCCAAATTTGGGGATCTTGCAAGATAATAAGAAGTCTTCTATTCTTTTGGGTTTAGCAAGAGCTGCTTCATGAGATTTACCTAATGACCCATGCAAATGAAAAGATTCCCAGAATCCTATTTTAGACACGCACAAATGTATAAATCATCCGATGGTTAAGTTGGTCTTTGTCTCTCACCTCAAGTTCTCTATATTTTCACAACTGCCCCAGATGTCCAAGTAGTCCAACTCCATGAGGCAGCCATCAAAATCCAAGCATACGCCATGAGGACTTCCATTGATTAGAAAGGCTAAAGTCACCATGTCAAAGGGCATCAACCTGAAGTTTCTGAATTGATATTTGAAACTTAACTGTTTTGCAACGTGCTGTGCTAAGCTAATGTCTTGTGTCTCGTACACACAGTGGCACAACTCTACTATCTTGGGTCCTGTTAAATTAGCAACCGCGAGTTTCTGCAATATCTTGTTGATAATACTCTGCCGTTCCTGAATCCAGACCTCATTTTGCCCAGCTAAGGAACAAAGGAACTGTCTACATTCTTGAGATGAAAGGCCAGAGAAGAAGAAATGGTAGTTCTCTGTAAAGGGCATCCTTGTCTCTTTCTTCAGAATCCATTTTTTCCTCAGGAAGAACTTCTCCTTCAACATCTTGCCATCTACTGTTGGGCTTGTCAACAGGAAGAGGGCTGCAAAGAATTCTTGCCAGCTAAAATGAGCAAAAGTGTAACCTGCTTGAGTAGGGTCCTTGCCTGTTTTCACTTCAGAGGTCAAAAGAAGACCAAAGCGACAAGAAAAATCTTTCACGTGTTTTGGGACCTCTCCAGCATCAAAAACCCCTTTCTTCTCTTCAAGGCCCTTGAAGGCTAACTCACAGAGATCTGCAAGGATTGCTTGATGTTGAGCCATGTCTATTTCATTCAAAGTCCTCCCACCCTGATGTCTGCAGATGAAAGTCCGCAGCATCATGAGGTAAAACTGGGTCCTGGTTTGAGGGAGCTGGACACTCTCTGAGTCTTCAAGGAACAAATGCTCCAGACAGATGCAGACAATGTGACACAGCACAGGGATGTAACACATGCTCAAGAGTTTGCCATTTTCATTCAGAAGAGCAAGCGCTTGCTCTTTCTGCAAAGGCTGTTGGAAAAAATAGCTAACATATTCCTCAACTTTGTCACGGTCGAATCCCCAAATTTCTGCTGGCAGGATGGTATTTCTGACTAATACTGCAGGGAGTAGCTTTGGCCGGCTTGTAATCAGCACTGTGCAACCTGGCAAGAGTTTTCCATGGCAAAGACTAGCCACCAGTTCAGAGACAAAAAGAGGTATGAGAAGATCTGAGAAGTAGGTGAAGGAGATGGGTGGAAAGTCAATGATATTCTCCATGAACTCATCCAGACCATCCAAAATGACCAAGGTTTGTTGGGCGTTCTCCAGGAGAAATTGAAACACTGTTTCGGGTTGATCTGGTTGGAGGAAATAATCAAACAAGAGTTCTTGGAGAGTTAGTTTCCTCTTGATGAGGTTCAGCTGCTTGAACTCAAAGAAGAAGATCAATTTGAACTGGGGAAAGATTCCCTCGGCCCACTGCTGACAGATTTTATGAACTAACCATGTTTTTCCTATTCCAGCCTTGCCCAAAAGTAGAACAACCTGGGTGATGCCCATCGGGACACTTTTGAAAAGCTCGGACAAATTCATCATTGGGATGCCATGGTCCTTGGATTCATGTGGAGCCATTGGTTCCTCTTTGATTTTCTCTTTTCCCGCTTTCAACTTGGATGTTTTGCTTTGATGGATGACAAGGTTGACAAAATGTTGGCTGAAAGCCAAGGGCTGATCTTTTGTTTCTGCTGCTTCCGCAGAGTGGCTCATTCCATATTTTCTAAACATCGAGCTGAGGATGTGTTGATTGTATCTTTCAGCAGCATCTGGGAAAGGCACGCCAGATATCATCCAATGGCAACATTTATACAGGTAAAAGGCAATAACTGTCCCCAAACTCCGAAGGATATTAACTTTAGCATGCTGCAATGCACTTTCCACAACAGTCTTGGAGGGCTGATACAAAAAAATTCCATATAAGCTTTAACTCTAAAAAACTAAAAAAAAGGCCCTCCTATTAGATTTCCTAAATATTTATTTATTTATTATTTATTATTTATTAATTTAATTTATATACCGCCCTTCTCCCAGAAGGACTCAGGGCGGTGTACAGCCAGAATAAAACACACAGATATAAAATTTAAAAAACAATTTAAGAAATATTAAATAATTTGGCCCATATCTAATTAAAATAAAACTACCCATTTGGACATTTAAAAATTAAGAGTTAACGATTAAAAAATTTAAAAATTAGGCCAGCCCAGCTTGTTGAAATAAAAATAACAAATAACAAATAAAATTTGTTATCAATAAAGCAATTTGATAGGCAGGATGTTAAGAAATGAACAGAATAAAGAATTAGAAATTCTCATATTGTCCATATAATGGGGAGTGTCTTAACTTCTAGAGCAAGAGTGTTAATGGGCCTCAAACTACCGTGTTTCCCCAAAAATAAAACCGGGTCTTATATTAATTTTTGCTCTAAAAGATGCATTAGGGTTTATTTTCTGATTAGGTCTTATTTGGGGGGAAATACGGTACTAAATGCATCCATCTGGCTGACAAACTTAACTGGGGCTTATTTTGGGGGGGTAGGGCTTATATTACGAGCATCCTGAAAAATCATGCTAGGACTTATTTTCTGGTTGGGTCTTATTTTCGGGGAAACAGGGAATTACTTATACAGCAAAAAATAGTAGTTAGAATTTATTGGATTCCACTATATTGGCAGACTGACTAAGACAGCACCCTGTTGGAGATATAATAAGTACAATACTTCTTTCAAATCCATGTTTTACAATGTGCAATTCCTTGCTAAACTTGGGGAGAAAGTAGCGGATTATATAAATATGACTGTGCAACAAAAGAATTTTCAAAGGATAATATTATTTTGGATTACAAACCAATTACATGAACTTTGATACCGGGATGACCTAAATGGATTCTCCGTGCCTCTTTCCATTAAGAAAGGGGGCCAAAGTGCCCTAACCTCTGGATTTCCAAATCGTAACAGATGCAGATGCTCAAAAGAAGCTTCTATTTCTTCCTCAATTGGTCACTCAATAGTCTTTGGACTTATAAAAAAAAAAAGAAAGAAGGAATAAGAGAGTTGGACGTACCGAAGCGTTTCTGCTTTGATTCTTTCCCATTGTTGGGCAAATTGCTGAACGGACGACGTCTTTCAATCTCTACAAGATGGGAGGCGGGAAAAAGAGGGAGGGAGAGAGGAACGAAATAAAACTTCTTCGTAGGGCATTTTTACATATCAATACATTGGAGGCCTTGACCCAGGAAAAAAAAGCATTTTGGATCAAGTGAAAAAGCTGGACGTTGATCATGTTAATGGCCACTATCTTGATTTTTTTTACCTGCCTGGCCATACAGATAATCCTCAATTTCCAACAGTTCATTTAGTGGCCATTTGTTGTGGCCCGTCAGCGGTCTGTGCAGCTAGTAGCTGATTCAGACAGCGAGGAGGCTGGTGTGGTGATTCGCCAGTAGCCTGTGCAGCTGGCACTCAAGTCGGACAATGAGGAGGCTGGAGAAGATGTGGTGCCAGAGGCAGGGATTCAGCCAGGGCCTTCAGAACCTCCAGAAGCTCCCTTAAGTGAAGAGGAAGAAGAGGAGGAGCCTCTTCTCGATGCACGGGCGCGCAGAGCTGCCAAAAGGCAGGAGTGGCTCCTCAGGAGGAGGTCTCCTCAAGAGTAAGTCTTGGGCCTAATTGTCCACTCCCTTAGCCTATTTAAGGAGGAACGCCGACTGAAGCAATTTGCAGGGAACAACTTCGTTCACTCTCCTTCCTGTCTTGTCTTGCTTATCTTATCAGCTTCCTGCAAATTGCTTCTGGGCATTCTGCCAACCATAGTAAGCTTTCAGTTATTATTCTTTGAATTCTTGGCAGCTGTTAATGCAGTTAATTAACAGTTGTTGTAAAAAACTGGTTTATTCAGTAAACTAAGGTTTGAACGGACTTTGTTTGTGCTGCGTTCTTTCGGGTCCGTAGCTGGGGCAGAACACCATTCAAAGTCACAATGGCCCTGAAAAAAATTGACTGATGACCACACTTAGGGCCATTTCAGCATCCCCATGGTCACATGATCAAAATTCAGATACTTGGCAAACTAGTTCATATTTATAACCATCGCTGTGTCCCGCAGTCATGTGACTTTTTGCGACCTTCTGAGAAGCAAAGTCAATGGCAAAGCAAGATTGACTTAACAACCGTATAACTAAGTTAAGAGCTACAGTGATTCGCTTAAGAACTGTGTTACTAACAACAACTGCAGTGACTCGCTTAACAACTGTGGCAAGAAAAATCATAAAATGAGGGGAAATTCACTTAACAACTGTCTCACTTAGCAAGATAAATTTTGGGCTCCATTGCAGTCGTATGTTGAGGGCTATCTGTATCAACATGAAGTCTGATTTCTAAAAGGTTAACGAATGTAAGGTTGCTTAAATTGCACAATTAATGCTAAGTATGTCATCGATAAAGAGTTGCAGAATGCAATGATTTATTTTATAATACGAGAATCATGAAGCTTAATACTTAATACGGTATTGTTATTTATAAAACTGGAAAGAGAGAGAGAAAAAAAGAAAAATATGATCTTACTTCTCGAAGTTGATGAGAAGGAACCTTTTGGGGGATCTTGTCCTTCAGATGCACTGCCTAGAATTATTGAGATCAAGAGGTTAATCAGGGTATCTTGTATCGAATCAGAGCCCCCCCCTAAGTGTTTTCAAAAAAACAAAATATGTGCTCATATAATCAGATAGAACAATACTCAAAGAGCAGGGACATTCTTGAAGAGATCTGGGAGAAAATGAGGTTTTTGGTTACCCAAAGGATGTTTTATGATCAATTCTACCTTTTCTAATGGTCATCTTGGACCTTTTGCATAGGTAATGCCATATAGGTAGTCCTCGACTTACAATCGGTCATTTAGTGACCATTCAAAGTTCCAGTCCTCCCACTTACAACCATTAGAGCATCCCCAGGATCATGTGATCCAAATTCAGGCGTTTCGCAACCAACACGGATTTATGACAGTTGCGGCATCCCATCTGTGACCTTCCCAGATTGCATCCAACAAAGTCAACAGAGAAGTCACCTTCACTTAACAGCCACATTAGTAACTTAACCACCCCAGGTATTCACTTAACAACTGTGGCAAGAAAGATTGTAAAATGAGGCAAAACCAGAGATGAAATGCTCCCGGTTCGGACCGGATTGCCCGATCCGGTAGTGATGGAGGCAGATGGTTCGGAGAACCGGTAGCAAAAATCCCTGCCCCGCTCCCACATGCCCAGCTGAGCCGCACAATCGTCAGAGGCTTTTTTTTTTACTTTTAAAAGCATTTTTTCTACAACCTCTTCGGCCGAAAAAATGCTTTTAAAAGTAAAAAAAAAGCCCCGATGATCGCGCAATTCAGCTGGGATCGTCAAAGGCTTTTAAAAGAAAAAAAACCCTTTTTTTCTTTTAAATGCCTCTGACGATCCAAGCTGAGTTGCCTGATCATCAGAGGCATTTAAAAGAAAAAAAGCCTCTGCCGATCAGGCAACTCAGCTGGGATCGTCAGAGCCTTTTGAAAGCATTTTTTTACAACCTCTTCGCCGAAGAGGTTGTAGAAAAAATGGTTTTAAAAGTAAAAAAAAAATGGCCATGCCCATCCAATCACATTACCCCACCACCACCAAGCCACGCCCACAGAACCAGTAGTAACAAATTTTAGATTTCACCACTGGGCAAAACTCACTTAACAACTGTCTCACTTTAGCAATGGAAATGTTGCAATGCAAAAAGTTTTTGGCAGCAAATAAGGAAGCTGGTTAGACGAGATGTTAATGTTCAAAATAGAAGTCAAGCCGGAATTTTTCTTACTGGGCATGACAGATGGCAAATATGACAAAAATGTAACCTATTTAAGATTGCATATACTTACCGCGGCAAGACTAGCGTTTGCTCAAAAATGGAAGTGTAAAGAAATACCCTCAAGAAGAAGAAGTAATACACAAAATCTACAGCTGTGCAGAGATGGACAGAGTTACTTTAGAACTCAAAGACAAAAGTGAATCAACATACTATGAAGTCTGGAATAAATTTTATAATTAGTTAGATAAGAGGAAGAATGCCAAAAACAAGGGATAACGAATGTCTGGAAATGTATATAATATATCAATGTATATTAATATATCAATGTATATTGAAATATGTGAATGTAATATAGGTTTATTAAATATATGTATAGTTGTTTAGGAAGTAAAATACTGTATTCTTGATATATAATGAAATAGGAGATATGTACAATAAAGATTAAGGCAAGGGTGAAATGCTCCCGGTTCAGACCGAATCGTCTCTGACGATCCCAGCTGAGTTGCCTGATCGGCAGAGCCTTTTCAAAGCATTATAAAAAATGCTTTGAAAAGTTTTTTTTTTAAAAAAGTTGGCCATGCCCACCCAGTCACATTACCCCACCACCACCAAGCCACAGAACCGGTAGTAACAAATTTTACATTTCATCCCTGGATTAAGGAATATATTACTTATTCACTTGAATTTGACGCAAATGTTAGAAACCAGAGACATTGAGCAATGACTATTGTTTTACTTTTAAAACTAATAAAATACTTCTTTAAAAAAAAGAAATGTTGGACTCCATTGTGGTTGTAAGCAGGGCGTTTTTTAAGCAAAACGCGTGTGTAGGAGGCCATACGCATGCTCACATTTTCGGTGATGGAGTGAATCAGTTGTTAAATTATGTGAAGCCCAACTCTGGTTGTAAGTTGAGGACAACCTGTATCTATCCCTGGAGCTACACGACTTGGCGTGATTCAACCCTCCTTCACCTTCTTCAGAGATGCTCATCAATGTGATCTCAAGCTCCATGGGAAGACTGCACTCCATACAGACGCTCTGGATGAACTTCTTGAAGACCTCAGGATTGGTGTCCACATCTCTTAAGATCATACCCAGGACCAGTAAACGCTTCTTCTTGAGGTCAGGCTCCGTGTCAACGAAACGCAGATCGCCTCGAGACAGAAGCATCTCAGCTTTCTTCAGCACCCACTCAGAATGGCCGCTCAGGAAGTCTACTAGCTGTGGCCAAATGCGTCTGATGATACTTTGGCGTTGTGCAGCATCCATCTGGAAGACACCGAAACAGGAGAAGACTAAAGAAAGCCCCCAGATCTTCACTTTATTGCTGACAATGCAGCTCTGGATTAACCTTTAAGTCAATGTTTCCCAACCTGGTCAACTTTAAGATGTGTGGACTTCAATGGTGGCTGGGGAATTCTGGGAGTTGAAGTCCATATGTCTTAAAGTTGGCCAGGTGAAGAAACACTGCAAAATAAGACCATAAAATAAGAGCCTTGGTAGTACAGTGGTTTAAAGCACCCTGTTATTAAGAACAGCTGCCTGCAATTACTGCAGGTTCGAATCTCGCCAAGGCTCAAGGTTGACTCAGCCTTCCATCCTTTCTAAGGTAGGTAAATTGAGGACCCAGTTTGTGGGGGCAATAAGCTGACTTTGTATAAATATACAAAAAGAATGAAGGCTATTGCTGAGCACATTGTAAGCCGCCCTGAGTCTCCGTAGAAGGGCAGCATATAAATCAAATTTAAAAAAAAAAAAAAGACCAGCATAAGGCACCGAGGTCAGGGGACACAAGGTTTAACTTATTTAACAACCCAACTCTCCTGTTTTTCTATCCTTCTCTACGGAGTGGAGAATTGGTCTCTGACAGAAAGCCACTTGAAGAGACTGGAAGCATTTGAAATGTGGATTTAGAGGCGGCTGTTATGTATAAGCTGGGTTGACAAAATCAGAAATGAGGAGGGCATAAGCCGCCTGGGAAAGCCAAGGGAAATCATCAAAATCCTAAAAAAGCGAAAGTTAGAATATATCGGATATGTGATGCGACACCCGAAAAAGTACAGTATCCTTCACTTAATCTTTCAAGGAAAGACTGAAGGCAAATGAGGTCCAGGCAGAAGAAGAACATCATGGCTTCAAAATCCAAGGGACCGGTTTAGATAAAACTCAGCAGCACTTTTTCATGCGGCTGTTGATAAAAATAAGATCATCAACATGATCGCCAACGTCCAATGACAGTTATGTATTGTGGCCCACCAGCAGCCAGTGGAGCTGGTGGCAGACTCAGATAGTGAGGAGATTGGGTCTGCTATATGTTCTTGGGAAGCCTAGGTCAGAACATTATGGCAGGAGATGAAGGAGGAGGAGGAGGAGGAGGAGGAGAAGGGAAGGGGAGGAAGAGAAGGAGGAGGAGGAGAAGGAGGAGGAAGAGGAGGAGGAGGAAGAGGAGGAGAAGGAGAAGGAAGAGGAGGAGAAGGAGGAGGAAGAGGAGGAGAAGGAGGAGGAGGAGGAGGAGAAGGAAGAGGAGGAGGAGGAGAAGGTGGAGGAGGAGGAGGAGAAGGAGAAGGTGGAGGAGGAGGAAAAGGGAAGAGGAGGAGAAGAAGAAAGAGGAGGAAGAAGAGGAGAACAAGAAGGAAGAGGAGGAGGAAAAGGTGGAGGAGGAGGAGAAGGGAAGAGGGAGAGAAGAAGGAAGAGGAGGAGGAGGAGAAGGAGAAGAAGAAGGAAGAGGAGGAGAAGGAGAAGGGAAGAGGGGGAGAAGAAGGAAGAGGAGGAGGAGGAGGAAGAGGAAGAGGAGGAGAAGAAGGAGGAGAAGGAAGAAAAGGAGGAGGAGGAGGAGGAGGAGATAGATTTACTTAATGATTTACATGATTCTCTTAACAACCATGGCAAAAAGGTTGTAAAATTGGACACGGCTTACTTAACCACCACTTTGCTTAGCCCCTGAATATCTTGACCCAATTGTGGTTGTAAGTTACCAACTGCATCTCCTCCATCTGGTACTTTACACAGACCCATCTCCCTACCAGCTTCCTACCATCATTCTGCAAATTCTTCTGTCTTCAGCAGTGTTGTCACTGCACCCTCCAGAAATGTCAAGGGGTGGGATTCATATTTTCTGTACGTTTTGGGTGGGGGCTCCCAGGCCCCCTCGGTTACTTCCAGAAGATCATCTTGTTGAAGGGCATCTCCTGCAAGATCAAATGAAGGATTTTTTAATCCCAGCATTCCAGCAACTTGTGTTCTGCCCCAGCTCCGGATTCCCAAGGATTGTGACACACACCAAGGGTCCTTATCAAAGTTATAACGTACCAAGAATAAACAAAGTCCGGCAAAGGTTGGCAACCAGCCCAGAAAACAAGATACGATAAGACACTCACTCTCCAAAATGCTCTGTAATAATTACACGTTGTTTCCAGCAAGAAATTGCTAACTGCTTGCAACTTAAATAGGCTAAGGGAGTGGCCAATTATCCTCAAATCTTACTCTCGAGGAGACCTCCTCCTCCTGAGTAGCCACTCCTGCCTTCTGGCAGCCCTGCATGCTCGAGCATTGAGGAGAGGCTCCTCCACTTCGCTCTCTCCACTTGAAGGAGCCTCTGGAGGTTCTGAAGGCCCTGGCTGAGTCTCTGCCTCTGGCACCACATCCTCTTCAGCCTCCTCGCTGTCCGACATGAGCGCCGGCTGCGCAGGCTGCTGGCGCGACCCCACACCAGCCTCCTCGTCGTCGAGATCAGCCACGATCCGCGCAGGCTGCTGGCGGGCCACAACAACTTGGTCCTTTCAAATTGCAATGCAAAACCGCCTACCCCAAGTCTGATGCGCTCCAGATGTTGAGGTGAGGCACCTCTGGACTGGGGGATGTGAGCAGCTGCATTCCCAGTCTCTGCGGAGCACCGATTTGGGGAGGCCGACTTTGAACCAGGAGGCAGCAAAGAGGGAATACTTATGTAAGATTAAAAATCAGAGAGAAAAGAAAATTAAGGGAGCGAACAGGGTCATTGAGGGCAGCGATATTCCCAGATCATGGAATGCAGAATATGGGAGGGATGAGAGCCTGAGGACCTGCTGTATTAACTACTACAGGTAGTCCTTGACTTACAACAGTTCATTTAGTGACCATTCAAAGTTACAACGGAATTTTTAAAAAGTGACTTATGATTTTCACACTTTTTTTAATTTTTTATTGAAATTTATTATAATACAATACAATCAGACAGTGTTATTTTTCTACACAAGTTAGATTGATTCTTCTTTTACATTTCATCGTTCTAAATTCTTATGTGCATCTTAAAATTTGTATTAACTTTTATCTATTTTTTATTCGGTTATCAATCCACCTGTACCAATCATCCCACACCGTATAATATTCTGAGTCTTCTTTCTCGTTTAATTCTAACGTTAATTTGTTCATTTCGGCACATTCTAGAACTTTCTGAATAACATGTTCCTCTGGTGGTGTATCCTTTCCTTTCCAATATTGGGCCTAGGCTATTCTTGCTGCAGTGAGTATATGTATGATTAAATATCTTCTTTTTTCCCTGTATTTCGTCTTTAGTATTCCCAGGAGAAATGTTTCAGGTATCAATTCAATTTTTTCATTGGTTAATTCTTGTAGCCAATTTTGAATTTTGATTGTTTTTCACACTTATGACTGTTGAAGTATCCCCAGGGTGACGTGATCGAAAATCAGACACTTGACAACGGATTCATATTTATGATGGTCACACTGTCCTGGGATCCTATGATCAAATTTTGCGACTTTCTGACAAAGTCAATGGGGCAAACCAGATTCACTTAACAACCATTTGACTTACTTAACCTGTGCAGTGATTCACTTAACCACTGTGGCAAAAAGGTCGTAAAATAGGGCAAAATTCACTTAACCACTGTCTTGCTTAGCAATGGAAATGTTGGGCTCCCTTGTGGTCATAAGTTGAGGACTACTTGTATCTATTACTGGAGCTACAGGATGTGGAGCGATTCAACCATCCTTGACCCAACTGTGTTACTAGCTTAACGACTGCGGTGAATCACTTAACAACGGGGGCAAAAAAAAAAAGGTCGTAAAATGAGGCAAAACTCACTTAACAAATGTCTCACTTAACAACAGAAATTTTTGGGCTCGACTGCAGTCGTAAGTCAAGGACTACCTGTATTAGGGGCCATGGATTAGTATCAACAGAACTACCCCATCTTACCAATAAAGGAGGATATTTGTAGCTCAGGATTGAAATGAGTCTAGGCTCAGCTCAGCTTGTCGATCAGAAAGGTCAGCAGTTCAGCAGTTTGAATCCCTAGTACAGGTCTCCTGTGTGAGCAGGGGGTTGGAATAGATGACCTCCAAGGTCCCTTCCAACTCTGTTACTCTTAACTGCGGCATCCTTGGTGCTCTCTTGAGCTTGGTTGCTTTCTTGCAGACGTTTCATTAGGTAACATCAATTACTCTGTGTGCTTTTGCTGAAATTAGCAGTCAGTCCTACCCTCTTTATCGTCTGTTGGCAAAGGGCCAAGGGCGCCGACTACAAATGCTTCATATGTAAGAAGTGGCAAGGTGTGAGTCTGTGGCTGAGTAATTCTGCAACTGTGTTTGTTACTGGAACAAGTAACGTGGCATTTAGCCAAAGTTGTGGTCAAGAACCTTTTGATGTTAGAAGCATGCACCGTTGGAGATTAACTGATATGCTATTTTACTCTAGGTCAGGGGTGGGCAAATGTGGCCCTTTTACAACCTGTGGACTTCAACTCCCAGAATTCCTGAGACAGCCTGAGACAGCCTGATCCGGTAGTGATGGTGGTGGGTGGTTCGGAGAACCGGTAGCAAAAATCCCTGCGCCCCCCCCCCCATGCCCAGCTGAGCCGCACGATCATCAGAGGCTTTTTTTTACTTTTAAAAGCATTTTTTCTACAACCTCTTCTGACGAAAAAATGCGGCTCAGCTGGGATAGTCAGAGGCTTTTCAAAGTATTTTTTGCTGCAACCTCTTCGGCCAAAGAGGTGGTTAAAAAATGCTTTGAAAAGCCTCTCTAACGATCCCAGCTGAGTTGCCTGATCGGCAGAGGCTTTTCAAAGCATTAGAAAAAATGCTCTGAAAAGTTAAAAAAAAAAAAAGTTGGCCACGCCCACCCAGTCACATTACCCCCCCCACCAAGCCACGCCCACAGAACTGGTAGTAACAAACTTTACATTTCACCCCTGGTACATACCCTCTAGGGTCATTTTACAGCTTTCTGTATCGGCATACCTATTTTGCTTTTGTAGTTCTCTATTCTATCATATCCGTTTACTTCTCGATAGTAATATAATAACATTACATCAACGTATATATTAACACACATAGTAGTATTCATTGTTCTTATCTACAGATTTATATTCATTTATATTTACATCTCTTTGTTCAATGTTGTTCAGTTACTCCAATTTAAGTTTCATCAGTACTAAGTTAAACATTTCCTGTTTTGGTTTCTATTTTCGAGCCAACTGTACGTTTTATTCCATACTTCATAACAGTCCGAATCATCCCTCTCTTTTAACTTCATAGTCATTTTGTCCATTTCTGTGCATTCAAGAATTTTCCTAATTACTATTTCGTCTGGGGATATATTATATTGTTTCCAGTTTTGTGCAAATGTGATTCTTGCTTCGGTGAGTATGTGTGATGTAATGTATTGGAGTTTTTTATTCATCTTTGAGTCCAGCATTCCTAATAAAAATATTTCTGGTTTCAAATCTGTTTTTTGCTCTGTAATTTCTTCCAGCCATTTTCGAATTTTGCACCAGTATTTCCTTGTGATGGGGCATGTCCACCACATGTGATAGAATGTTCCAGATTTGTGGTTGCATCTCCAACATTTGGGGGATAAATTTGGGTACATTTTGGCCAATCTCGCTGGGGGCAAATGCCATCTATAAAACATTTTATAGAGGTTTTCTTTATAGGCGACTGCTGTTGTAAGTTTATAGTTCCTTTTCCATAGTTTGTCCCACTGTTCTAATTTTATGTTATGCCCAAAGTTCTTAGCCCAGCTAATCATCGTTTCTTTTACTACTTCTTCTTCCATTTTATATCTTAGTAAAAAATTGTATAATTTTGTAATCATTTCCCCGCCCCCCTTCCTAATAAAATTTTATCCAGTTCCAATTGTTCTTGGTCTTTTTTTAGTTTTGCTTTAATTTGTAGGCAGGGCCACCATTTTATATTTATTCCTTGCTCTTTCAGCATTTGCACTGATTTTAATTCATCTTTTTCGTTTAAAATTTCTGAATACCTTACCATTTTACTGAGATCTATTGTATTTGGGTGTGTCATTGCCTCCATTGTCGATAACCAGTTTGGGATTTTCATGTAGTGGTTTTTTTAAAATCTTTACCCAGACTTTAAACAGGGAGTTCCTTACTATATGTCTCTGGAAATATGAATGTGTTTTATTTTTCCCTTCCCAGAGAAAACTGTGCCAACCTATTTGGAGGTCGTGTCCTTCTAACACTAATATTCTTTTGTTTTAAAGTTGAACCCAATCCCTCAGCCATGTCAAGGCAGCCGGCTGCCTGATAGTAAAGCTCCCAGTCTGGGAAGCCGAAACCTCAGTGGTTCCTGCTGTCTTGTAAGTTTAAATTTAATGCGGGGTTTTTCCCCCAAAATGCAGGCTACTTCTACTGACTGGCTGCCAGCAGTTTGATTCTCACCGGCTCAAGGTTGACTCAGCCTTCCATCCTTCCGAGGTGGGTAAAATGAGGACCCTGATTGTTGGGGGCAAGAGGCTGACTCTGTAAACCACTTAGAGAGCACTGTAAAGCACTGTGAAATGGAATATAAGTGCTATTGCTGGCGCAGCAGACTAAAGTGCTGTTAAATAGCACCAGCTGCCTGCAATTACTGCGAGTTCAAATGCAGGCTACTTCTACTGACTGGCTGCCAGCAGTTTGATTCTCACCAGGCTCAAAGTTGACTCAGCCTTCCATCCTTCCGAGGTAGATAAAATGAGGACCCGGATTGTGGGGGCAATAAGCTGACTTTGTATAAAAAAGAACACCGCTTGGGGGGGCTGAAAGCCCTACTAAGCAGGTATATACAAAAGTATATACCTGCTTAACGCATTGTAAGCCGCTCTGAGTCTCCGGTGAAGGGCGGCATATAAATCGAACCAATAAATAAATAAATATTGCAATTGCTAAACTAAAGCAAAAATGTG